ATTTCTCTGTTGTCCCAGCAAGTAAATATGAAGGATTTATTAGTGAATCGTTTAAAATTTAAATCTTCCTCATGTGTTCTGCTTTGAAATGACATGCTTTATAGACAGTAATAATGAGCTCGAGTAAGTGACATGAAATAAGGAGATGAAATTGAACAAGTTTGGGTTTATAGTGCCCAATTTTTGAGCTTTGCTCACTCTGTCTTCTCTGTCTCATGTTCCAACGTGTTAAAAGATGGTTCAACCAGATGACATTTAAAAGTTTTCGACTGTTATATACGGCAGATTCCATTCTTTCTTCTTCATCAAACCAGGCTCAAGTTTTGATAAGTGTCATTAGCTATCTTAGGGAGGTCTGGCGTCAAGGCATGCTTGTTTTCACAGAGCTGATATCAGTTTGGAAATCAAGGGACGTGAATATGAGAAAGATCTGCCAATACTTGGAATGGCATCCACATGCTTAATGGTTATCTTTTATTAATGTATATGTAATAGTTTCGTCCTTTATGTTTGTTTCAGACCTCTTGTACTTCTCTTGTTTAACGTATAATTAATCTTTGAGAAAATTAATCTTTCGATCTTTATAGTTATGACTCATTTATAACTTAGTCTCTACATTTTTACTTAGTTCAACTTCTTTTCTATAGTTTTATAGTTTTAATTTGATTGCAACTCAGTTCTTAAAGTTTGACTCGCTATAACTCAGTCTCTATAGTTTTACCCATTTTATAATTTAGTCCTTATGTTTTAGAAAAATGAAATTATATATATAATAAAAAGAGGGACTAAATTATAAAATGGTTAAAAATATAGAAACTGAGTTGTAACCAATCAAACTTTAGAGACTGAGTTACAATTGAGTCAAAATTATAGAGATTGAGTTGCACTGAGTCAAAATATAAGAACTAAATTACAAACAAGTTAAAACTACAGAGGCCAAAGGATTAATTATCCCCAAAAAAAAGATGACTCTCATACAGGCTTAGGACTTAGCTCGTATATATATAAAATCCTGTAGCAGAGAGCACTCGAAGGTTATGACTAATATTTCAATTAATTCCCAAAAAACTATGTTGATGATGACTAATTTACAATAAGATCTTCTGCAAAGAGAAAAATCAAGAGACATACAGACAGAATTACTAGGAAATAACACCGACCTCCGAAAGAAGAAGAAGCCACATGTCCAAAGGAAAATAAGGAGATATCAGAGAACACCAGAATTTGGAGAAAAGATTCCACCATATCCATCCAAACCCGGGAATATTTTGTTTTCTCAGTGAGAATTAGGCTCATTATGCACATCACACGTCAAAAGATTTCTACAAGTTCCATCATCCGCAATATCCTATAGTCCCATGAAATCTACTTTTCATCCATAACTATACTCACCTCTTCCTGCCCACGCACTTCATAAGCCCATTTCATAAGCATATAGCCTATCAGCCCCTTTCTCATGGTCCAAGTCCTAATTATCACTAATCCCATTCATTAACTATGGTACTACAAAAATCTACAGACGTGCTTACCTAATGGACAACTTTCATGTTTAGTTCTACAATAGACGTTGACGACAACGATGACGACCACAATCATGATGATGATGATGATCAGCACAGATTGCGTGAGGGAAACTTGAAACTGCAATCAGTAGGAACCAGGTACTCAGTTATGACGATTTTATTGGTGGAATCAGAACTCCTCGTGAACTTTTTGGATGGTTCATGAGAAAAAGCTATGGCTTTCCAGTGCAATGGAGTTTTTGGATCAATAACGGAAAGCAGAGAAGGCTTGAATTGGACATTCTCCTTGTTTACTGTTTGTACACAAACTCTGCAATTAACAATGGAAGGATTTGGTGATCCACATATGAATTCTATTTCCACACAGTTCTAGCCCTGTTTCATGAACCCATCAAGGCTCTACCACTCTTTTTCCTCGAAGGCTCTTCCTCACAACAAGAAGAACAGTATGTACAAGCTCAGTACAATCTGTGTTATATCCTTTTGTCCAGTTGTTTCAGTTGCCTAATCTCAAAATGACACCTCTAGCTCAGTTCCAATATTCATGGTGAAAAACTTATCAGAATGCCTCCTTATAGCTTTTAACAAGGGGGCTACGTAACTAACGGTGAAAATATTCCATGTCGATACCAAAACTCTGAACATTATTAACAAAGATTTAGAGGAACACTGATGATGGAGAAAGATTAATTTGCAGAATAACTGGAAACAGATAAAACCGGCACCTATTATTTGACCTCAAGAGTGACCAAAATTGTAAACGCATTCACAAAATATGTAGTCTAAACAGATTCTGCAAAAATGGACAGTAAGTATATTAGGATGGCATTTGTTGCTCATCCATGAAAGAGTTATCTAAAGTATCTTTTATGGTTCAAATATAATTGCAAAACCAAGCATGATTGAAAAAATGAACAATCCATGTCTCAGCTTTGAAATTTGTATAGAAAATTAATATGAATCTTCACTATAAACTCTACCAATCCTCCTTAATTATGCTCCCCTGAGCGCAAATAGCGATCCTCATTATACACAAAGCAAACACTACTTTGGTCATTAATGTTAGTCAGCTTTCAGAAGGATCTCTTTGGTTGGTTCTAAATATTAGTCACTTTGCAAGATGCCTGCACATCAACTATTTTCCCTCCACAGATGCCCCTAGCTTATTTGTTCTGCAATTAGGAAGTGCTGACAAGGTTGTTTTATCTCACGAGGAGATCAGGCGTCGAGAAAGATGCCTTATCCAAGGAACATGCAAATCTTTGAAATTCATTGTGCCTGATAAGGCCACTGTTGGAAGCTTTCAGAACTTTTTCACAGAATTAAGGATGCAACCAACTTTTGACTCTTTTTCTTAATATGTGTAAGGTAATTAAAAGTGACTTATATTAAAGATTTGAGGAAGTATAAAATTTTAGACTACAAAGGAACAGGACAACCAACTCTGTTTATCAAGTCAAAATCATTAAAAAGTAGAAAACAAAAAAAAAAGTAAAATAAAAATAATTAAGAGTACATGCTCACCTTCATGAAGTGAAATCACCTAAAAACCACATCCATGACAATCTGAAATTTGCTTAGCTCCAAATCCGACATATCATTAATCACCCTCGTTATTACCTATTTGTCCCCTGATTTAATTCTTGTCGTTTGCACACTTTCTCCATATCATTTCTGAACCTATTTTTATGGGCAGCCATGGCCTCTCCAAAATTATTTGTCCGATATTGGACATCCATCGGATTCACCTTCTTACACTGAATGATGTGAGCGAGTTCATCCAGGCACCATGTTGAAGTAGCGTAGTTCCTAGAGAACATAATGATCGAAATCCTGGATTACTCGATGGCTTTAAGAAGTTCAGGTGAGATTCGTTTCTCTTTCCCAAGCTTCTTGTCATCAATGAAGGCATTGATTCCCTTCCGGCGCAAAGCCTTGCAGAGAATCACGGTGAAACTCAGGGATTCATCATATCTAGACTCCGTTTCGCTGGTAGCCAAAAGAGGGTGCTGCCAGTTGAATCGCCATGGTCAGGATAGCTACTACAAGCTTTTAGATAAGGGAATTTATTCCTACAGGCAGAGACCAACTTACAGAGACATGGTTCTTCACCAAATTACTTGCAAATGACAAGTTTACTTGCGGGTGGGTGTCTTTTGGGATCCGATACTTCCCCGCATGAAAATTGAAAGCGCATGGAAAATCTGCGGAAGATGCCTCACTGCCTTCGGACTCTATAAAAGGGAGCCCCAGTAGGCCTTCGAAACCCAAGGGACCGTATTTTTCGCCAGGCTTTTCCCCCTTTGAACATCAATTAAGGGCCTCACGTCCTCTTTTTATCTACCATACAAGTTCATCAATATCAAAAAATAATAGTTCCTCCTTTAGTCTGGTTTATATGATAGAGAGCAAAAAAAATTTTAATTCTACTTATAAATCACTTTGTAGTATAGATATACTGTTTTCTCCTTTTATCTATTATACCATAGATAATTATTTATTTTTAAAAGTATATATATTAAATAGGAATAAAATTAAAAAGTTATTATATTTTAATAAAAAGCTAATACAATTTAGAGTTTCCTTATTCTCTGTGAAATACGCTGAAAATACTTTATAAATAAGATAAGAGGATGAACTCATTAAATTTGTTTCAAATTAAAAGTTTTTTTTTCTAACTTTACCCATATATCAAATAAGGTCATGAAGGAAAAAGAAAAACATAATGAATTATATTTTAGCATTAATTATACGGACAAAACTAGTAAATAAGTATTAAATATTTTTTTAAGTGACTTATATTTTAAGACAAACCATTCTTCTAAAAACGACCTATATTATGGATAAAAAAGAATATTTATTTTATACATCACAAAATTATTTGAAATAAACTAATTCAAACATCCGAACACTCGATTTGGCAATTTAGTTAATATTAGCACATGCATATTGTTTCCTTAATTTTTTTTTCCCTTTTGAATTGAAAGGCAAAGCAAGCAGAGATTTTAAATTTGGAATCAAAATAAAATTTTTATTTAGGACCATAGGTAGCACTCTTTCAATTTTTAATATAAAACCTAATTAACTAATCTAAGTATAACAAAAACGTTAATTAAATTAGTTAATGTAACTTCTTTTTTTTTTTTTTAAATACTCTAATCATCTTTAATTTTTTCCTTCTCTCCCTTACTTGATTATTGTTAAAAAAATATCAATAAGATTAATTTAAAAAAAAAATAAACATATAAAATAAGTATTACAGATAGGATTAATATCAATTCTCCAATTAAGTCATATATTAAGCATTATTGTATTCAAAATATTTTGCAATTCTTTTAGCGAGTTTTGTAAGTTACAATTTCTGAGACGCTGGGAGGCAAAGGAACTCAAGGAGAGGTCGAGAGCACTTCTTGGGTTCCCTGCGTTCTGCACGGGCATTGCGGCAAGAACAATTTAATGTTAATGCAACAATTAATACCAATATAAAATTTATGCCGAGGAACACCATTTTTAATACATAAATAATGCAGCTTGTTCTTCATACTTCATTCAATACCAGGAAAAACGTGAATGAAAGCTAACCAGTAGTTTTTCCCCCCAAAAAAGGCTCATACTCCCAATAACCAACAGTAGCTAAAAACACTTCTCTTCTGAAAGTCTCCGCAATATGCATCCACGAATTTTTGGTAAATCATTTAAAATGACTCTCTTGCATCACGTGAAGCTGGAAAACTGCAACACCAATTAGTATAGAAGAGATTCAAAATCGTTTGGAAAGTGCTTGGGACCAATTTTAAAGTAACAATGAGAATCCTAAGATTCTTCATCTTCTTAAAGGCAAAGCCACTCCACTCTACTTCTTGAGGGGAACTAAGCATTATTCCTTCAATTTTTCTGCTTCCCTTTAATGTAAGAGCATAGTAGTAACAATTAAATATTACCAATTAACCCAACCATATACAACATGCATTTAATATAAATCAGTTAGTAGAAAGCATAGAGGCTCACCTTGCCCTTGTCTTTGTGTTGTTGAGTTTTCATTTGTCAATAGACTCGAAACTTTTTCGTTCTTTCATCAGGAGGAGAAGCTATAGCCCTTCGTTTCAACGAAGATTTTGGATCATTTGAAGAAAGCAAAGAAGACTTGAACTGCACATTCTCCATGTCTGTTTGCTGCTGGTACACATAAACTCCACACTTAACTATGCACAAATCCGGTGGCTCACATTTGGCTTCTATTTCCACATCATTCCAATCCAATTCCAGAAACCCATCTAAGATTTTCCAGTGTTTTCCGTCCGGGAAAGCTCTTCTTAGATCAAATACACCCACATGACCTTCTCTACTTGGAAAGGCTATATTATTTCCTTCCTTTACTTCATGACCATTGATGCTCATTCGACCAAGGACTCTTCCCTCAGAAACATGGCTCGCACCTCCTTTCTCAAACTCAAATACTAAGGCAACCACTGGGAAATTCCCACGAACACGAAAAGACAAGGTCCCTCCTTTGCAGCAAAAGTTGAGCCAATCTGGAAATGTTGATGCTGGCATACTACTGATGGCCAAGTAGTACACCTCCTTTCTAGCCTGTCATTACATAAAACACCCAAATGGCTTTCCCAAATCAAATGAAAATTTTATAAATAAAGTTTTTCTGATAATTACTGATTGCTCTCTTAAAATGATAAAGCCAAATGGGAAAGAGAATGAATAACCTGGGACCATAAATGGCTTAAGGACTCTCTCGTTAATGATATGCAATTGTCTGCTTGTATATCCGCCAGGTTTGGTGGCAGCTCTGGAATGTCTCTTAGCCTCTTGCAGTTATCCAGATTTAGTTTCTCCAAATAAGCACACTCTTTGATGCAGTCAGGAAGGGACAAGATATCATTCCCTGATAGATTTAATTCTTGCAGATTCCGAAAACAATTCACAGTTAGGTGAAGATCTTCATCCAATAGACAACAATTTTCTAGATTCAAAATCTTCAAGTTTGTGCTTCTAATAATTGGATAACTATCTTGCATTGACTTCTTCAAGGATTTTCTGCTATGAGGTCTGCTATTCTCCAATAAAAGCCAGACAAGATTTTGCAGCGTGAATATTGTGTCTGGAATCTCCCTAAGACCTTCGCAGGAGTTAAGAGATAAAATTTGAAGCCCTGAGAGATTTCCAATGGAATGTGGGAGTTCTTCAATGGCAGTGTTATCTGCAAAAATGGTACTCAATGCGTCCATCTTTCCCACTATATTTGGAAAGTAATCAAGACTCTCACAAAAAGCAAGGTCAAGGTGTTCAAGAGATGCCAATTTGATTTCACGAGGAAAGCTTTTAAGTTTTCTGCAGCCATTAACGGTTAATACCGCTAACTTAGAGAGATATCCCACAGAATTATGAACCTTAATCAAATTGCGACAGTCTACAAATATCAGTTCTTTTAAATTTGGGACTTGAGACATATTAGGCACTTCAGTTATAAATTCGCAATATGAGAAATCCATGCTTGTCACATATTCTAACCTCTGCAAAACCAAAACTAGATAATCTGATTAGCAATTCCATAAAGTGATATGAATTTTAGAGGCAAATGATAGGTTAAGGGGAAAAGAAAAATACCTTGATTGGCTCTACTAATCTGACATAACTACGACATAACCTAAGGACCACAATGTTCTCAAGGTAAAAATCCACCGGTAAGGACATAGAAGGGTATCCCTCCCAATCAAGCAATCTTAAATTATTTGGGAAGTGCTTAGGGCCGGTTGAAAATAGTGCATTTCGCACAATGAGAATCCTAAGATTGCTCATTTTCTCGAAGGCAAAGCCACTCCACGCTACTTCTTCTTGTTGAGGAGATTTAAGCATTATTCCTTCAATTTTGCTGCTTCCCTATAACGTAAGTGCAGAGCAGTAACAGTTAGATATTGCAAGAAAGCCAAACTATGCACAATGCATTTAATGTTAATGTGAAAGAGAAATGATTCAGTTCTTACAGAATTTTCACGTAATACTCTAACAACATCTTCATGATGCCACAATCTGCTGCGTTCACCAGGATTTAATGGTGCCTCCTGTCTGACAATTTCTCGACCCATTTCTTGTATTAGATCATGCATCCACAAGCAATCATGTTTATCAACACTCACCAATGATTTATCAATGAGCACCTCAAAATAAAACCTTGCACCACCATGACAGTTGTGTAGTACTTCATCGGCATATACCGATCTCCACTTCTTGAAAAAACAAGCAACATCTAGAAAAATAGACTTAGCATTGTCTTGTAAGCAGTCGTAACTTATCTTTAGTACTTCGTGAATTGTTTTATCTGGGATCCTATCGTATCGTTCCAATATTGACTTCCATTCCTCTAAGCTTTTTTGAGTCAAATTGGAGCCTATTACTCTTAGAGCCAAAGGAAGGCCCTGTGCATAACTAATCACACGGCCGGACATATCTTCATAACCTTTGGGAGGTTGGTTGTTATGAAAGGCATGCCAAGAGAAGAGTTCAAGAGACTCATGCTCATTTAGCTCCTTCATTTCATAAGTTTTTTGAACACCATGTACACTTAATAATTGCTTATCTCTAGTCGTTATAATGATCTTGCTTCCGGATCCAAACCAGTTACACCCTCCTGCAAGTTGTTCTAATTGTTCTAATGCATCAACATCATCAAGAACTAATAGAACTCTTTTGTGGGAGAGTCTGTGTTTTATTTTAGTTATTCCCTCATCAACACTACCAAACTTCTTACTCTTCTCTTCAAGAATCTCAGATAAAAGTAATTGTTGGAGACGAACTATGCCTCGATATTCATTTGACGCTTCTCTGACATCAAGTAGAAAACTTGCACCTTCAAATTGGCAAAATATTGAATTATATAGAGCCTTGGCAAGTGTTGTTTTGCCAATTCCACCAGTTCCATGGATCCCCAACATACAAACGCCATCATGAGACTGATCCAAAAGTGACTTCACTTCTTCAATGCGAGACTTAAGTCCAACTGGGTGATCAACGCTATGTAAAGGGTTGGGTGGTAGCCTAGCATATGCATCTTCCACAATCCTTTCGATAAACCCAAGTTTGCATCTATAGAAATTCAAATTAGTTTTGGTTATGTGCTCTTTGTAAAATATTTGTCACAGTAACATTTAAGTAAATCTAGAATAAAGAAGTTACAACAAAAGTGAACTTCTCAGTATTAAAATAATAAAAATCGTGTTCAAAAAGTTAATTCAAGACAAGGATTCTACTCAAAAACTTCTAACCTTGAGAAACGTAAAATTAGAACTAAAAACTCGACTCATAAGTCAAAATGAAAATTGTGCGACAGTTAGCTAGTGACAGAAAACACTCATTTTCTACACTATTTTATAAGAAGAAGTCACGTTAGGTTGAGCTGAACGCATAACAGTTTTTATTCAAAATTTCAAAGAAGCAGGGATAGCTATAATAGAAACTGCGTTATAAATTAAAGTAAGATTCCATAACTCCATGACTAAAGAAAAGTAATTAACAAAAAAAAAATTGAAATTCAGAGGTCTAAATACTAGATAAAGAAAAATTTGAACCGGATAAAAGGGAAAAAAAAAAAAATCAAATTTTAAGGTTAAGATTATAATTTTGAAAAACATATCTGAAGAAAGGCACTCAGACAGAGCCTACCCATCATCGAAAAGCCATGCAGATGATAAGCTAGCAGCTTCATACAAAGCAGACCTCCATCTGCGCACTTTGTCTAAGTCATCTTTGAACCTATCTTTAAGAGCAGCCATGGCTTTCTCAAAGCTATTTCTCTGATATTGAACATCTAACGGATCGACCTTGTAAAAGACGGGCATAACCACCTGCTTCTTCTCCTCCTTACACCCAATGATGTGGGCGAGTTCCTCTAAGCACCATGTGGAAGTAGCATAGTTCCTAGAGAACACAACAATGGAAATCCTGGATCTCTCAATGGCTTCAAGAAGCGCAGGTGAGATCTCTTCCCCCTTTCCAAGCTTCCTGTCGTCAATGAAGGCGTTGATTCCCTTGCGTCGTAAAGCATCGTAGAGAAGCCCAGTGAAGGTGTGGCGAGTATCTTCGCCTCTAAAACTCAGGAAAACATCGTATTCATACTTGGTTTTAGTAGGAGAGCTAAAGGACGATGGTGCTTCCACTAGAATCGCCATGGCTATGATGATATAAAACTGAAAGCCAGTAAGGCATTAGGACTTGAATACTCAAACCTGGGATTGGGAGACAAATTTACACAAAGGTGGTCAGTGGCCAAAATAGAGGGCACGCTTTTGATACCCAATAAAGAAATTTCTCGGAAGCTTGAAAGTTTCAGAATATGAATTGACGCTTTACATTTGCAGGCAAGAGGAAAGAGCGTGAGAATTTTAAATTTTTTAGTGGAGAGAGCATCACTTGTCCGGAATGCCGGAATTTGGGTGCTGCATTTGCATTATAATTTAGGGGAAATGACAATAAAATACCACTTGAATTCCAAAAAGATAAATAAGGCACCTGAATAAACAAAATGACAAATAGGGCACTGGGTACCAATCTGGAATTCATATTTTCGGCCAAAAGACCAAAATGCCCTGATGAAATGCAGGAAGACAGACGCTGAAAGTGAGAGGAAGGAGAGAGGAAAACCGACGCAGTGAGAGAAAGGAGAGAGGAAGACCGACGCTGATGAAATGCGGGAAGAAGAAAAGAAGAATGTTGAAAATGCTATTATCTTACTCCTTCGCATCACCATTTGTAGAGATTGTTGATTTTAGTTGTGAGAAAGAGGATTTGTAGTGAGAGAGGGAGTGAACCGAAGCGGAAATCAAAAAACAATGGCAAGCAATTACGTAATATAACTGCTGTCATATGCCTGCTGGTTTTTGGTAAATTCCACTACGTGAATGGTAAATTTCACTATACATGTAGTTAATTATGAAAGTTAATAGTTCAATATTTATTGTGACGTACTTCAAATGCACGTTCACTGAATGATTTATTTATGCTTATAAGTTGCCTTTCCGGTGAAAACAGGTTTACAAAACCCATTGAAGAAGTAGTCACTTTCACTATAAAAGTTGTAAATCCCAGTATATGTTTTGTAAAATTCAACGTGAAATTTTATTGGTTTTTACAAACAAGTTGCCCATCCCTTGAAAACTGGTTGCAAAAGCCATTTAAGAAGTGGTCATTTTCACTATAAAAGTTGTAAATATCACTGTGTGTTTTGTAAAATTCAGCGTGAAATTTTATTGATTTTTAGAAACAAGTTGCTCATCCCCTGAAAAGAGGTTGCAAAACTCATTTAAGAAGTGGTAATTTTCACTACAAAAGTTGTAAATATCACTCTATGTTTTGTAAAATTCAGTATGGAATTTTATTGGTTTTTAGAAACAAGTTACCCATCCCCTGAAAACTGGTTGCAAAAGCCATTTAAGAAGTGGTCATTTTCACTATAAAAGTTGTAAATATCACTGTGTGTTTTGTAAAATTCAGTCTGGAATTTTATTGGTTTTTAGAAACAAGTTGCCCATTCCCTGAAAACTGGTTGCAAAAGCCATTTAAGAAGTAGTCATTTTCACTATAGTGGTTGTAAATTTCACTATACATGTAGTTAATTATGAATTTTACAAAATACATATTGTGATTTACAATTTTTGTAGTGAAAGTGACTACTTTGCTAATGGGTTTTGCAACATGTTTTCAGGAGATAAACAACTTGTTTATAAAAACCAATAAAATTTCACGTTGAATTTTACAAAACATATACTGGGATTTACAACTTTTATAGTGAAAATGACTACTTCTTCAATGGGTTTATAAACCTGTTTTCACCGGAAAGGCAACTTATAAGCATAAATAAATCATTCAGTGAACGTGCATTTGAAGTACGTTACAATAAATATTGAACTATTAACTTTCATAATTAACTACATGTATAGTGAAATTTACCATTCACGTAGTGGGATTTACTAAAAACCAGCAGGCATATGACAGCAGTTACATTACGTAATTGCTTGCCATTGTTTTCTGATTTTCGCTTCATCTTTCCCACAGGTTCATCTTTTCCACAGCTTCACATTCTCTGAAAATGGTTTTATGCGAAGAACAGAGACAGAACCAAAATTTTTTAGAGAAATGCTAGGCAATAACATTTTAAGCTGTGGGAACCCATCGAAAATCAGCGTCTTCCTCTCTCCTTCCTCTCTTCTTCCCGATTTCATCAGCGTCTTCCTCCTCTCTCCTTCCCGTATTTCATCAGTGTCTTCCTCTCTCCTTCCTCTCACTTTCAGACAGGGCATTTTGGTCTTTTGGCCAAAAATCTGAATTCCAGATTGGTACCCAGTCCCCTATATGTCATTTTGCTTATTCAGGTGCCTTATTTGTCTTTTTGAAATTCAGGTGGTATTTTATTGTCATTTTCCCTACAATTTAACTTGCATTCTTCATGAAAAGAGATGTACACGCGGCCACCTTTTTTTTTTTAAAAAAAAAAATGAACGTGGGACCTATGAAGTAAATTCGTCATTACCTGTTTGTCCCGTGTTTGTGGGGTCAGAACCGAAGCTAACTGATCAGGATAATGTCGCGAGTGTCAGTACTCAGTAGATCGAATTAGAATTAGATGAGTGATGATTAAAAAAATATAACAAAATGAATACAAATTTTAATCTTTTAAATTGTTTACATTTTAATTTTAGTTCCTCTAATTTAAAACCATAAATTTTAGTTTTTTAAATTTCTTTTTATTTATAATACTGATCGTTATAATCTAATAAAAATTTGAATCATTTTATTTTTTCATAAATCAAAACCTATAATTTAAAATTTGATGAATCAAAATTAAAAAAAAACAAATTTGAATGACCAATATAATAAAATAAAATGTATAAAGATATTTATATTTAACCACTAAAATAAAAAAATAGCCGACAGCTTAGCCTAGTTTGCTTTCGGCTTCTAGCTTTTTGATGTGCGGAAAGAGGCTCTTTAGCATCACATCTTTTTACTTGCTTTTTAATAAAGCTTTGTCTTTTATTTGAAAAAATAAAAAAATAAAAAACTACTCGAAAGCCTTAGTTCAAATGACACGGCACTTATTAAAGAAGTTAGGGATCAAATCTCCGTATGGTCTAAGGCAAAGGGTGCGCGCGACGGCGCGAGATGGTGGGTGTGTGAGCGTGTGTGTGAGATGTTTGGGTGTGTAAGTGAGCGTGTGAGTAGTCCCTCTTAGATGTATACAAAAATACTACAAAAAAAGAAACAACTAGTTTTAAGTAAATGCATTAATTATTAATTAAAGTTGTAAGAATTAGGTTAAATCTTAGAAATTTATATAGTTAAAATTTTCATTTAAAATTTTTTGCACAGTGACCATCAAATACTATTATTTTATTTTGGGCAGATTTATAAAGAATACTTAAAGATTAGTAACACATCAATTAATGTAAATAAGAATGAGGAGGTTGGGTTTGAATAGCAGAGTGGTCGGACTGGGGTGTCAGTTGTGCCGCTCAGCTGCCCCTCAGCTGCCCCTCAAACTTTGAGGGAAGGATCCGAATTGAAATTATTTATAAACATATTTTATATAAATTAAAACAAAATTTTTTTCACATATTTATTTTATTAAAAAGTTACATATAAACCATTTCAAATTATCTTAAAAAAAAAACCTAAGAATTTAAAAGTTGAAGAATGGTTTTGTCATTTTCATAATTAATACTTCATCTTTAATATAAAATTTATTTAACTAATTTGATTATATTAAGAAAGTTAGATAAATTAGTTAATTATAAAGAATATGATATGTTTTTTTTAAAACATCATAATCATCTTTCTTAATATCCTTTCTCCTTTTTCCACTCAATTATAGTTGATAGAAATTCATATGGATAATTAAAAAAAATTAATAAATATAAAAAATATATCTTATATTTAAAAACAAAAACAATTCAATAATTAGTTCTTATATTAAAAACCTATTAAAAACCGGAAGAGTACACGAGAGGGGAGAAAAGAAAGAACGAGGCAGAGGAGATAGCAGGTGGCGGGTGCTAGTGGAAGGAAAACGAAAAAGAAATAGATTGGAGAGGAAGAAGACGATTGTGAAGCAGAGCACCAGAGGAGGCACATTCCTTTCCCTTCCAAGCGATCGTCTCTACTGATCTCGGTCTCGCAAGCCATCGTCTCTCACCCACTCTTCGACTTCTCTGGGTTGCTATTGCTTTCACCGTCATTCTAGACTCCTCAATCTTGCTCTCTCTCACGGTCATCATGCTCGTCATGGGCAGTCGTTCAAGATTTCACTCAATCTCTTTCGGGTATAATAATAGGTTGCAGGCTTCAATTTCTGCCCTGATTATACTTTCCAGCTTCTTCTTTTTCCTTTACGCCATCATTGTCGCCAAATTTAGACTTCTTTCACCGTTCCATTCAAAGCTCGTGGGCTGGATGGAAAAAAATAACCCGCTCAACCCACTAAGTTACCTTGGATATAACTGGTTCGTATCGGGTTAGCTCAGTTCACACCGACTCACAAATAGCTAGTCTGTGTCAGCAGTGGTTGGGGTCATTAAGGGTCAAGTCTCAATCAACTTGTGTATGTTACTGGCCAAGTTAATTGTAGTTTTTAGGTCTTGGCTTAAAAAAAAAAAAAAAAGAATACAAAATCATTTTTGGGTTGCTGGTGGCTGGATGAGATCAAAAGAAAGATCTTGTAAAGATAACGGAGTCTTATGGGAGGGGAATGTTGATGCGTTGAACCTTAGATTTCTAGATGATTTTTCGAATATTCGAAATTTTTAGAGGAAGGATAAGTGTTCTTTATTTTTGGGTTTTTTTTTAAAACTATGTATAGATATCTTTTAATTGAAAATAATCATATTTAAGATATTAAATATAAATACCTTTCTCAACCAAAATTTCAATCTTAACTCGCCTTGTACATTAAAAGGGTGTTGAGATGTCCTACTCCCAGTTCTAATTATAAGAGCAAGTTGATTAATTTGAAGAGATTAAAGAAGTAAGTTGAGTTAGTTATTTGTTCTAAACATGTGTTGTCTTTCCTAAAATATCCTTACTAATCAGGTGTATTGACTAAAACTATTATTGTTAAAAGGACTACTTTGAAAAAAAAAGTATAAATATGAAAGATAAAATGGATTGAAATCTTATATTTAGGATCAAAATAAAAATCAAACAAGATCTTATATTAAGGACCGGAGGTAATATTAAGAGTGTTAGGACTAAAGCAAATAAGCCCAAGTATATTATATGGATACGAGGCCCAATAGCTTGGAATGTGCAGCGGTTTCTAAGATGGCCTCTACATAAAACCCGAAGGAGCATTCATAAATTCTTCATTTTTTATTTTTCACTTGTATTCAGTACCACATGTAATTAACTACCAATTATTTGATAGCTAATGCTACAAATTAAAATCTCCAGACAAGCTTAATAATTGGAAAAACCATCTTTCTACCGTGGCATGAATGAACAGTGATATTCATTAAAAATAAAAGAGAATCCATGAAACGACAATTAGTACGTAGGAAGAAGAGGTTCACCTTAACCCGTTCTTTGTGTTACTGGGTTTTCCTTTATATATCAGTTCGTTCTGAGGAGCTTCTTGGGTGGTTCATAATTTGGAAGAGAAGTCATCCCTGTTTGTTCCAGCAGTGATGGCGTTGAAGCATTATGGGAAGACTTGTTGAACTGCACATTCTCCATGTTTGCTCCCTTGTAGAAATAAACTCCCCACTTAACTAAGAACATATCTGGCGAGGGAATCATAACTTGTATGTTCACGTCATTCCAATCCAACCCCATATACTTGTTGAGACGCTTTTGCTCTGCTTCCGTAAGTTGCACGAATCCGTCAAATAATAACAAATTACCTTCTTGAGCTGCAATTCGCAATTTATCAGTATGACCATTGATGCTCATAAAAACTGGGAAGCTCTGTTCAAAACTCATGTTCGCTTTCCCCGTGGCCTCAAATGCAACAATACCACGAGGTAATAAATTCCCACGAACGCGAAAAGACAACGTGTCTCCTTCACCATAATAGTTGAACCAATCAGGAAATGTTGTTACTGGCACACTGATTCTCAAGTGAAGCAACTCCATTTTTGCCTGATTATATTTACCAAAACAGCAGACAGACCAAATGCGTTCTCAGATTTCAAATATGAGAGAATGCTAAAATGGCAAAAGAAAGAGAGAATAGATCCAAAGGAAGAAGAAAAACCTGAGAATATAAGTTGTCCAATGATCCGGCGGTTAATGATGTGCAATTCCCTGCATCTATGTCATGCAACTCTGATGGCAACTCTGGTATGTCTCTTAGCCTCTTGCAGTCTCTCACATCCAGCCACCATAGACTCTTACACTGCTTAATGCACTTAGGGAGAGACACAAAATCATTCCTTTGCATATATAACCCTTGCAAATTTCGAAAACAATTCAGAATTAGGTGAAGTTCTTCATCCAACAGACCACAATTCACGAGATGCAGTTTCTTCACATAACAGCTGCTGATTTGGATATCTTGCATTAACTTCATCCAAGATTTTCTATTATGAGGATGAACGCCTCCGAAATCAAGCATCTGAAGATTTCGCATCTTGAATAAGCTGGTTGGAAGTTCCCCAAGACTTCTGCAAGAGTGCATATGTAAATATCGAAGCCCCAAAAGATTTCCAATCGAAGGTGGGAGCTCCTTAATAGCAGTGCGAGTTATGGAAATTCGCCTTAGTGCATCCATCTTTCCCACTACACGTGGGAAGTACTCAAGACTTGTGCAGGCTTTAAGATCAAGCCATTCAAGTGATGCCATCTTGATTTCATGTGGAAAAATGGAAAGTTTGGTGCATTCGCTAACATCTAATTCGATTAGCTTAGAGAGGGATCCCAACGAATCATGAATTTTTATCAGATTGAAACAGCTTGACAGATCCAATCTTCGTAGACATTGACATTGAGATAGATCAGGTACTTCAGTTATGAATTGACAAAATGAAAAATCCAAATGCGTCACACAGCTAGTAAAAACCTGCAAAACAAATACAGTACTATCTAATTAGATTGTCCAAATTACTAAAATTATGCAAATCCATATGGATCTTCTGGTTTCAAATCAGATATTTCAAATTTTATTTTAATTTTATTTTCATAATTTTTGTCCTAATAGATGCAAAATTGTTTAACTGTCTAAATCTTTTCACACCACTAAGCCTCGAAACTTCTATGGTGAGTGTTAGAAACTTGTTTTACTTGACACATTTTCTAGACAACAATGTTTCAAAGACCATACTGAATTGTAAATTATTCACAGAGTATTGTGAAATGTGTTTTATAATTATTTTTCACAAATGTATTAAAGCATATGCTTTCAAAATATAAAAAAACATTTGTAGGTTTTTGAAATATATACGAGACAACTGTATATCAAAAGAAACTATTCAACTTTATCACGACTATGTTACACTTACTTAAATCAGAATCGTAGCAGAGCATGATTATTCTTGATTCTAAGATGAAAACTTACAGCTAAAGAAATTTGGCAGGCCAACAAGAAAAAGAGAAAGAAATTTGACTGAAAAATAACTATAAAGAATTATTTAAAAAAGTACCTTCAATGGCTCTTCTAGTCTAAAAGAACTTGAAGGTAGATTCAAGAAAATTAGCTCTGAAGGAGAAAAATCTTTTGGAAAAGTTGCAGAAGGATATCGCTCCCATTCCAACCATCTTAAACTGTTGGGAAGATCGGTAGGACCAGTTGAAAATTTGACATTTTGAACAACAAGAATTCTAAGATTATTCATCTTCTCAAAAGCCGTACCACTCCAGTCTACTTTTTCTTGCCGAGGAGGATCAAGCATTATACCTTCAATATTATTGCATCCCTGTAATGCAGGTTAAGGGAAGTACCATTAGTAGATATCACTATATGTGCTTGTGTGTGTATCACAATAAGTTTCATGGTTTCGATTCTTACTAAATTTTCACGCAGTACTTTAAGAACATCTTCATAATACCATAATCTGCTGCGCTTTTCAGGATTTAATGGTGCCTCTTGTCTAACAATCTCTCTTCCCATTTGTCGTATTAGATCATGCATGAAAAAATATTCATCACCAGCAACTAAAGTTATCAAAGATTTATCGTTAAGAACTTCAAGAAAAAACCTAGCACCAAAATCGCAGGCTTTTACTGCTTCTTTAATATGTTCCTTCTTGCCAATAAAACAAGCAATATCTAGGAAAATACGCTTGGCACCAGTTTGTAAGCAACCATAGCTTATCTTTAGAATATCTTGAATTGTTCTTTCTGGGATCCTCTCATATTGTTCCAGTATAGAAATCCATTCCACCAAATTTTTATTTGCCAAATTGGAGCCTATTACTTTTAATGCCAAAGGAAGGCCTTGTGCATAACTTATTGCACGACTAGACATATCTTGATATGTTATTGGAGGTTGGTTCATATGGAAGGCATGCCAACAAAAGAGCTCACGAGAGTCATACTCATTCAGCTGCATCATTTCATATGTTCTTTGAACATTGTGAGCAATTAGCAATTGCTTATTTCTTGTTGTTATAATGACTTTGCTTCCAAAACCAAACCAATCACACCCGCCTGCAAGTTGTTCTAACTGTTCAATCTCATCAACAGCATCAAGAACCAAAAGAACCTTTTTGTGAGAAAGTCTATGTTTTATTCTTGATATTCCTTCACCAACACTCCCAATCCTCATAGTCTTCTCTTCAAGAATCTCTGATAGAAGTTTTTGTTGGAGACGAACCATGCCTAGATATTTCCTTGATGCTTCTTCAACATCAAACAAAAAACAAGCACCGTCAAATTGGTAGAAGATTGAATTATAGACCAATTTTGCAACGGTTGTCTTGCCAATTCCACCAATTCCATGAATCCCCAGCATACAAACTCTATCATCGGATTGATTTAAAAGTGAAGTCACTTCTTCCACCCGAGGCTCAAGTCCAACCATGTACCCAATGTTATATAATTTTTTAGGAGGCAGCATAGCACAAGCATCATTAACAATCTTTTCCATAAACCCAATTTCGTACCTACAAAAGGGCAAATTCTCTTGTACTACAAAGATGATTCATGCATATAAAATGTCTGTCATTCTTTTCCTTTTAGACTCCATACAGGATATAAGAATTTGAGTTGGTTCATAATTATAATAATGGATTTTGTAGTCAGATTTCACGCAATGTATTGATCTGTATTGTAATGACGAGTTATAAGTAAGAATCGATCGGAGGCTTAAATACAAAAATTTGTGCAACCTCAGGAACAACATTAATAGCATATCGCGACTGGTACATGTTCCATTCTTAAGAACAAAATCACATAACAATAATGTGGAAGGATAAGTTTTCATCTCACAATTGTGTGGATCCAATTATGATATTAGCAATGACCATTTAAAAAAAAATCTATTATTTCACTAAGAAAAATTAATAAAATTTTACTGTAAAAACTCTATCAAAAATGTTTTTGAAAAATAAATTCTTCGATTATAAATTATTTTCAGAACCAAAAAAAAAATAAAAATTTTAAATACTCAAGGAAAAAAAATTAAGAACTCAAGTTTAGTTAGATTAACCATTCTGTAAGAGCAGTGATCACCGGTCAAAACTCCAAAACATCTTCAACAGTAGTTTGTTATATCATGAGGAACCCGTAATAAAGAATTCCAAAATTTCATCAGCAGCAATTGAAAAATAGAATAATCAAACATACCCATCTTCAAAAAGCCAGGCCTTTGACACAGAAGCAGCTTCAGACAAAGCAGATCTCCGTTTCTGCACTTTATCCATGTCATCTCTAAACCTATCTTCATGAGCAGCCATGGCTGCTGCAAAACTGTCTCTCTGATACTGAACAGCCATGGGAGCCACCTTGTAAAAGATGGGCATAACCACCTGGTTCTTCTCCTTCTTACACCAAATGATGTGAGCAAGTTCATCCAAGCACCATGTAGAAGTAGCGTAGTTCTTAGAGAACACAATAATGGAGATCCTTGATCTCTCAATGGCTTTAAGAAGCGCAGGTGCGATCCGTTCCCCTTTGCCAAGCTTCTTGTCGTCAATGAAGGCATTGATTCCCTTGCGTCGCAAAGCATTGTAGAGAGGCACAGTGAAGAGGTGGCGAGTATCTTCACCCCTGAAACTTAGGAAAACGTCAAATCTGTATTTGGGTTTGCCAGTGAAGCTATGGGATGAAACTTGAATAGCCATGGCTGCAATAATCTGTGAAAAGCTAGCAAGATATTGGGATTTGAATAATACTCTAACGAGGCAGAGAAATTTATACCAACGCGGTGAATCGGCAAAAGGCATAACACCGCGTTTGATCCTCCATTAACAAATTTCTCCGGAAGTTGGAATTCGGAAAGTGTAGTCAGGTTGGATTGTTAAAGCGGAGGAAGAAAGCAGAGGCCGCATCTCAGCGGTCAAACGACGTCGCTTAGAGGGTAAGAAAGAGGCAACTTCAAGTCATTTTTTCTCCGCCCCCGTGATGCACTGACGCCTCCTTTCTCTCTGTCTCCCCCTTTTTTTATTAGGCTGTTACTCTGGTGCCCATCAAGCCCGCTGGCCCACCCAACGTGCCCGTTTGAGTCCGAGAAAAACATCACCTAGCCCAGCTCCAAAAAAAAAGCAGCACAAAAACAATGAGTATTTTTGGACTAGGCATATCATTGGTAGGGTCAAGCTGTTGTTAGGGTATGCTTCCCTGCCAGTTTGGCCTTACCTGTGATATATATATATATATTTTAATATTTTTTCCAAGGATATATATATTTATAATATATATAATAATATATATTATTCTCCTTCCTCTATTTGCTTTAGGTACATTTATTGGTGTACGTAAATTCTTCCATATTATAAATAGAAACAAATTTTTTTTTGATAAAAAATGTTTAGGTAAAGTCAATCCTACTTGATAGATAATATTTGTATATATAATTGTGTTAAATAGCACAATTTGAACTAATGACTAGTTTAGATGGTTAAAAATAATGAAACTTCTATTTTAATTGGAGTTTTAATAAGACCTCCTCCACCTATTAATAGACCCCCCGCCTATTATGCAAATAAGAAATTGATTGATGTATTTTGACTAATATTCTCCTACCTTTTTCATATTTTAAAACAAATTTTAATTTGCTTTTTCTTACAAAATTGTGACTGTTTTATTTATAGTCTAGTGATGGCATTATTTTAGTGAAAACATTTGCATATTGTCATCACAGCTTGTTATGTTATTGTATTATTATAATCTTTTGTACTGCTTTTGACTTTCAAGCACAAGATTTCACTACTTATTAGGTTGTCAAACTCCATATTATTGTGTAATACTCCTTCGATCCTTAATATAAGATTCATTTTATAGTGCTCCTCTAGTTATAAATATAAGACCCATTTTGTAGTACAAAATATATTTAGGACCGGAGGAGTATTATTCTTATTAGCAATTTATTTGTGTTTTATCTTTTTAAAGCTACGAATATGCAACAATTACAACTATGGGATTATTTTACTAAGTTACTATTGGAGGATACAAATGAAAAGATTAGAGTTGCTGTAACTATTGTAATGCACATTTTGCTTGTGACTCAATAAAGCAATCCACAGTGTCTTTAAAGAGATGCTTAACAAGATGTCGCAAGAATCCACACAAACCATGACATTATCGTATGTTTGAGAATTTTGTTTATTCAGTTGCTACAATCACGTCTGAAAGTTTCATTGGAGATTGTTTTTGTTGAAGGCTTTGGATTGATTTCTTTTTTTTTTTTTAATGTTTTTCTGATCTTATTTAGTATTTTTTTTAGTTTGTTTTCATTGTTGGTTGTCTTGCAAAGATGCAAAAGCAAGCTTACTTTGATGTTGTATTAAAAAATATATCAATTTAAGGCAAATCAAAGCTATTGCTTTGTTGAATTTATTATTTATTCAAGTATTCATTTCTTTATAGTTGTCATAAGATATCCCTACTTTAACTAAAAAAATTTTCACGAAAGCATCACCATTTGAGCTTGGAAGCCTGTCTTGTCTAGCTTGCTATTACGTAGCTCGAAATGGTTATGGTTTTTATGGGCAAGGCAGGATAGCGGGTTGTAAAATGCAACCTGCTCATCTTTTAGGTTGGGCATCACACGCAGGGGCATGCCCTACCCTTGCCTATGAACATCGTACTTAGCCACAACTTTTTTTTTAAAAGCTCATTCAGCTTTTAGTTTAAGTTCTTTAAAATTTTAAAAAAAAACGCCGCAATTATTTTTAATAATTAACACACATATAAAATATATGTATTTTAAAATTATATTTAAATTAAAAGCAGGTTTCTTATAATATTTTTCAAAAAAAAAAATCTCGACAACCCGACTTGATTGCCTACAATTTTTATAAGCGTTAAAAAAAAACTAAATTGTAAACTATTTAAAAAAAATACTTGAGAGTGTTTATGTAATTTAAACCCTATAACAATTACAGGCAATCAAACTGTGTTGTCAAAATTTTCCTGTAAAATAATTGTAAGAAGCCTAATTTTAGTTAAAATATAATTTTAAAATACATACAGTGTAGGTGTGTGTTAATTATTAAAAATAAGTGCAGTGTTTATTTTTTTTAAATTTCAAAGAAGTTAAAATAAAAGCTTAATGAGCTTTAACAGCCTTAAAAAAGGGAAGAGGGATATGGGAAATGGAGGCGTCAGTGCGTCACGAGGGTGGGAAAAAAATTACTTGAAGTGGCCTATTTCCTACCCTTCCAACCTGTGGGAAATGGATTGCTGCAGCATATGATGTATAGAATTTTTGACATTCCATATAATTAAGGGTCTGAAAGAGGAGAGGATGAAAAATTTTAATAAACTCATTTTAAAAAATCGAAGAAGTAGGGTAATAAGATTTTGATAAACAAGAAGATGTAATATAAAAGAGTAAGAAAAATTAATTAAAATGTGTTAATGCCACCTCTTCAATTTTTCAAAACAAGCTTATTAAAATTTTCTCTCCTTTGTCATTTTCTTCATTTTCCTCATACGAAAAGGGCCATTAAAGTCCATATCATCAAGGGACACTGTACGTTGGAAGGAATTAATAGGTCTCTCTATTTTTTTTAAAAAAATAATACAAATGATACATTAACGAAAAAGGTGTTTAAATGTTACCAATAAATCTCCCTATTTGAGTCAGATTAATGCTCAAATTTGAGTTATCATACCAAAAATAAAGTTATATATATATAGGGAGGTCTATTCCTAACATTTAAATGCCTTTTTTATTGACTAATTTAAAAAGATTAAAAAAATTATTAAATTATTTTAAAGTATTTATATTTATTATTTTAAATATTTTTTAATTTATAAATTGATATATAATCTAATGATATACAAAAATATTTCAAAAAAATCATATAACATATGCTCAGTAATTCTTTAACTTTCTTAATCTCTCTAAATTAGTCAATTAGATCTTATATTAAAGATCAAAGGTGGCATATTTTTATTTGGTTTGCAATAATTGCATCAACCTTCAACATTTAACTTAAGAAAAACAATAAATTAAAACAAAAAAAAGAAAATTAAAATACGACTTAACCATTTTGTGCTGGCGCGCCAATTCGCAGCAAGCACCCTCTTACTTTCCATCCAAACTTTGGTGACCCCTTAACCTTTAATTTCTACCCAAAAGTGGGTTGACGCATACCCGCAGAATGGAAACAATTTTTTGAATATACTCCTCCAGTTATTGATAAAAATACCTATTTAATTAATTTGATTAAATTAAAAAAGTTAGGTAAGTTAGTTAATTATAAGAAATATGACATGTTTTTTTGTAAAACACCATAATCATCTTTCTTATTATCTTCCCTCTGTCATTTACTTGATTATAATTGAGGGAGTATCTATAAGGGTAATTTAAAAAAAATTGATAAATATGATAAATAAGTCTTATATTTAGTACCAAAATTAACTTAACAATTACGTCATATATTAAGGATCGGAGGAGTACATTGAAGAGCGAACCATAATGTAATAAATAAAAATTACTACCTGCACTCCTAATTATAAGACCTAGTTTATAATCTATAAATAAGAACTTATAATTAGGACCGGAGGTAGTATGACATAACAGCCTTCAACCTTTTAATATCAAATAGAGACTGGAATGGCTTACCACTTTGCTATTCATTACTATTTTCGGTTTTTAATATAAGAGCTAATTGACTAATTTGAATAAGTTAAGAAAACTAGTTAAGTTAGTTATTTGTAATAAATAGATATTATCTTTATTAAAATATCTTTGCTAATCAAATGTATTGGCTATAATTTTCATTATTTTGAGGACTACCTTAAGAAAAAATAGATAAATATGAAAGACAAAATAGACTGAGATATCATATTTATGACTAAAATAAAAGTTAAATGAGCTTTTATATTAAGAACCGAAAGTAGTATTAGTTGCTTATAAGAGTTTTTTTATATATCAAGGAGTATTAAGTAGATGAAATCTTTCATTTTTTTTTCCTATTAAAGAGAGTATTAAATAATAACATTTTTTTTTCACTCATTCCCTCTCTCTTCATCTTTACAACAAGAAATTATGCTATAATATTCTTCTCTAGGCACATGGAGGATCTTCATATTCCACCTCGCATCCAACATTCTGTCAGATCTTGACGTACACATGCGAGCGAATGAGTATTTAAAAAAAAAATTTATTGCCTATTTATTTATCTTTTTTTCAGAGTGCGTGGACTGTGGAGCAATGAAGGGAGCATCTTTCGTGGTCATGCGTCCTTAGAAGTCGAATAAGCCAATTTTTAATATCAAGTTTTTTTTTTTAAAATTTCCTTCCCATAATATTATGTCTATATATCGGTCTTAACAATTCCTGAATTACAATGCAGCTTTCGGATAAAAAAACGAGAAGAACAGGGAAAAAGTAATCCTCAGCCTCAGTAGAAAGAGAAAGAGAAAGTGGGGGGAAAAGGGGCAGAAATTCACGGAGGAATCAGGGGAATTTTCACAGAAAAAGGAAAATCTAAACAAACTGGGTCCCAACACCTTGGCCTAATCTTTGTTGCTGTTGTCTTAAATCTTTTTCATATATGTTATGGTTAGCTGAGTGTTTCTCAACGAGTATTGAATCAGATATAATGGATATAAATAGCTTGATCTAAGTCTTTTTCAAAATCTAAAAGCATCCTGGTCGTCAACTTCAAAGTTTTATTTTTATTTTTATTTATTTGGTGTTTTTTCCCTCCCCCCTTCAAAAGAGAATATTGTATTCTAGCTTATTGGTTGCTTTAATTTCTTGAATGATGCTGTACACATTTAATTAGCATCTACATGAACCCTGTGCTTCCAGACAATGGTAAAACAAATTAGAAATTGTGAACATAAATTGCAATCTGGAGAGGCTAAAAAGAATTAATTCTAAAAAATAGAAGTTTGGTGTGAATACTTTCTATCCCCTCAATTAGTCAAGTATGGAGAAAGACAGGGATAAGTTGACAAGTGAGCTCCACCTCTAACTTCTATCTCTCATTTTCATGAAACTTTCAACCCCCTTCAATTATTTATGATATAATATAGTTCGTCGCAAAATCAATTTGCGATGGATTTTTTTTATTTTTGTTCGAAAACTTCTTTCCTTTTTTTTCCCCCGTAATTCCCTTATTCCCTTCCTCTAGCCACATCATAGCCGAGTCCTCCTTCAACATTTATTCTCTTCCTAATCTTTTATCGCGGTAAAAGTTTATCTCTAATCTTTGACTTTAAACATAAGGAAAATTGTAAAAAAAGACTTTAGAATTGCAAAAACGCAGATAGGGACCTTTGACAACTTCACTTTGGGTTTTGACAACTTCATGACATATTATTATTGTCAAAATCCAAACTGAAGTTATCAAGGGTTCCTATTTGTATTTTTGTAATTTCAAGGTCTTTTTTTACAATTTTCCCTTAAACATACGTTTGCTCTTTTAAGTTTACATATATAAAAAAAAACAATTAAAAGCATCAATTTTATCATAAAATTTTAGTAATTTTCATTATTATACCCATGAACTAAACTTCAACATCCTATTAATTTTCATTCTCTTTACTATTATTAAACATGGGCAAATATAAAAAATACTACCTCCAGTCCTTAATATAAGACCCCGTTTAACTTTTTGTTTGGTGCTAATTATAAGACCCCAATCCATTTTATCTCTTATATTTATGCATTTTTTTTCAAGATAGTCATTCTAATAATGATAGTTCTGGTCAATATATTTAATTAGTAAGGATATTTTAGGAATGACAACACTTATTTATTACAAATAACTAATTTAACTTACCTCCTTAATCTCCTCAAATAAGTCAACTGGGTCTTATAATTAGGATCGGAGGTAGTTTAATACTCTTAAAAACTGCCAAATGTCTTGAAAAGAATATTAAAAGCATCTTTTAGAAGGTGCCCTCTACATAAAACGCGGCGGGAAGGAGTATTAATAAAGTCTTTATTATTTTCATTTGTATTCAGTGCCACATGTAACTAACAATTATTTGATAGCTAATGATGCAAAGATCTCCAAACAAGCTTATTAATAATTGGAGAAGCAACCTCTCTCCTATAGCATGAATGAAAAGTTTGGTGTTATTTAATTGTCCTACAAATACATGGAAGGGCAAGTAATATTAATTAAAAAAAAAGAAGTAATATTAATAAACAAGAAGAAGTAATATTAATATTAATAATAATAATAAAAGCATGCATGAAACGACATAGGCAGATAGAACAGGCTAGCTCATCATCACCTTGACCCTTTCTCTGTGTTCCTTTATATATCAGTTCCTTCTGAGGAGCTTCTTGGGTGGCTCATAATTAGGAAGAGATAGTGATGGCGTTGAAGCATTATGAGAAGACTTGATGAACTGCACATTCTCCATGTTTGTTCCCTTGTAGACATAAACTCCCCACTTAACTGATGTATCTGGCGAGTCAGTCACAACTTGTATTCTCACTTCATTCCAATCCATCCCCATAAACTTGTTCAGATGCTTTTGCTCTTCTTCTGTAGATTGAATAAATCCGTCAAGTAATAACAAATTACCTTGTTGAGCTTGAATATGCCATTTATCATAATGGTCTTGTTTCACTTCATCAAAATCATGTCTCACCAATCCCACACCATTGATGCTCATAAAAACTGGGAACGTTTGTTCCTTGCTCCTGTTCGCTTTCCCTGCCACCTCAAATGCGAGAATTCCACGAGGTAAACTCCCACGAACGCGAAAACACAACGTGTCTCCTTCACCGCAATAGTTGAACCAATCAGGAAATGTTGTTGCCGGCACAATGATTGTCAAGTTCAGCAATTCCTTTTTTGCCTGAAACAGTTCAACCAAGTGAGTTCTCAGATTTTAGATATGAGATAACGCTAAAATGTTTACAGTACATTTAAAAGTTCATCCACAGTTTTATGGGATAAGATGCAAAATTTGAGCTGAAAGTTTTCCCCAGCATTCGACAACCGTTTTTTGGGTGCAAACCTATTCCAAAAGTTTAAAATCACAACAATTTTGTCCCTTATCATTAAAAATATTAGCAGTCAATATCACTATTTTAATGGTAAGGAGCAAAATTGCTACAATTTTAAACTTTTAGAGTAAATTTTATACCCGAAAAAACTTCCGGATCCCTAGAGTTGTCTCTAAGTGAAAACTTTCTGAATAAATTTACATCTTAAGATTTTTATCTTGCACAGGCAACTTAAAGTGTTTGGTTAAAGAAAGAGAGAAAAACCTGAGAATATAAGTTGTTCAATGATTCTGCAGTTAATGATGTGCAATTTGCTGCTTCTATACGACGCAACTTTGTTGGCAACTCTGGTATGTCTCTTAGCCTCTTGCAATCACTCACTTCTAGCCCCCACAAGTTGGTGCACTCCTTAATGCACTGTGGGAGGGACACAAAATCATTGCTTGATAGATGTAACTCTTGCAAATTTTGAAAACGGTTCAGAATTAGGTGAAGTTCTTCATCCAACAGACCACAATTCATGAGAAGCAATTTCTTCATATAATAGCTGCAGATAATAGGTTCGGTATCTTGCATTAACTTCATCCAAGACTTTCTGTTCTGAGGATGAACGCCTCCGAAATCAAGCGTCTCAAGATTTGGCAACATGAACAAGCTGGATGGAAGTTCCCTAAGACTTGTGCAGGAATGCATATATAAATATCGAAGACCAGAAAGATTTCCAACCGAAGGTGGGAGCTCCTTAATAGCAGTGCCATCTATTGAAATGTAGTCTAGTGCATCCATCTTTCCCACTACATGTGGGAAGTACTCAAGACTTGTGCATCCTCTAAAAGAAAGGCTGTCAAGTGATGCCATCTTGATTTCACGTGGGAAAATGGAAAGTTTGGTGCATTTAGTAACATCTAGTTTCATCAGCTTTGAGAGAGATCCCAATGAATCATGAACTTTTATCAGATTGAAACAGTATCGCAAATCCAATCTTCGTAAACATTGACATTGAGACATATCAGGTATTTCAGTTATGAACTCACAAAATGAAAAATCCAAATGTGTCACATAGCTAGTGAAAATCTGCAAAACAAATACAATACTATTTAATTAGATTGTCCAAATTACTAAAATCATGCAAGTCCCTTATATGGATATTGACTAGGTTAAACTCAGATAGTTCAAATTTAATTTTAATTTTATTTTATAATTTTATCTTAATAGATGCAAAATTGTTCGACGGTCTAAATCTTTTTTTCACTCCACTACACCTCGAACTTTTTAAAGTAAGAGTTAGAAATTTGTTTTACTTGATACATTTTCTGGACGTCAATGTTTCCAAGACCACACTGGATTGTTAATTATTCAGAGAATATTATGTGAAATGTGTTTTATAATCATTATTCACAAATGTATTAAAGTATATGCTTGCAAAGTGTAAACGACATTTGCATGTTTTTGAAACATATATATGAGACATCCATACAAAAAAAAAAAAAACTATTCAATTTTATGACAACTATATCAGACTTATTTGAATCAGAATCATACGGAGCATGATTATTCTTGATTCTAAAATGAATATTTACAGCCAAAGAAATTTGGCGGGCTAACAAGAAATAGAGAAAGAAATTTGACAGAAAAATAACTGAGAGTATTCTAAAAAGTACCTTGGATGGCTCTCTTAGTCTAAAAGAACTTCCAGGTAACTTCAAGAAGATTAACTCTGAAGGAGAAAAATATTTTGGCAAAGTTGCAGAAGGATACCCCTCCCATTCAAGCCACCTTAAGCTATTGGGTAGATAGGTAGGACCAGTTGAAAATTGAACATTTCGAGCAACAAGAATTCTAAGGTTATTCATCTTCTCAAAGGCCATACCACTCCATTTTACTTTCTCTTGCTGAGGAGGATCAAGCATTATTCCTTCAATATTATTGCATCCCTATAATGAAGATTAGGAGAAATAAAATTAAAAGGTATTGCAATATATGTCATTGTATGAAGAGGCAAACATGGTTTAGATTCTTACTAAATTTTCACTTAGTACTTTAAGAACATCTTCGTAATACCATAATCTGCTGCGCTTTTCAGGATTTAATGGTGCTTCTTGTCTGACGATCTCTCTTCCCATCTGTCTTATTAGATCATGCATGAAAAAGTCATCATCTCCAGGAACTGAAGTTATTAGAGATTTATCAACAAGAACTTCAAGATAAAACCTAGCACCAAAATCACAAGCTTCTACTATTTCTTTAATAGATCCCATCATCTCTTTGTTAACAAAACAAGCAATGTCTAAGAAAATACGCTTAGCACCAGCCTGTAAGCAATTATAGCTTATCTTTAGAAGCTCATGAATTGTTCTTTCTGGGATCCTTTCATATTGTTCCAATATAGACTTCCACTCCTCTAAATTTTTATTTGCCAAATTGGAGCCAATTACTTTTAATGCCAGAGGAAGGCCTTGTGCATAACTTAGTGCACGACTAGACATATCTTGATAGGTTAACGGAGGTTGGTTCATTTGGAAGGCATGCCAGCAAAAGAGCTCACCAGAGTCATACTCATTCAACTTGATCATTTCATACGTTTTTTCAACATCGTGTGCAACTAGCAATTGCTTATTTCTTGTTGTTATAATGACTTTGCTTCCAAAACCAAACCAATCACACCCTCCCGCGAGTTTTTCTAACTGTTCAACCTCATCAACGTCATCAAGAACCAAAAGAACCTTTTTGTGAGAAAGTCTATGTTTTATTCTTGAAATTCCTTCATCAACACTCCCAATCATCATAGTCTTCTCCTCAAGAATCTCTGATAGAAGTTTTTGTTGGAGGCGAACCATGCCTAGATATTTCTTTGATGCTTCTTGAACATCAAATAAAAAACATGCACCCTCAAATTGGTAGAAGATTGAATTATAGACTGATTTTGCAAGGGTTGTTTTGCCAAGTCCACCAATTCCATGAATCCCCAACATACAAACTCTCTCATCGGATTGATTCAAAAGTGAGATCACTTCTTCCACTCGAGGCTCAAGTCCAACCATGTACCCAATGTTATGTAATTTTTTCGGAGGCAGCATAGCATATGCATCTTTAACAATCATTTCCATAAACCTAGTTTCGTACCTACAAAAGAGAAAATTGTATTTCAAAGATGATTATTCATGCATATCAAATGCTTGTCATTCTTTTCTTTTGTTTTCTTATCATAAATTTTTATATACATATTCTTATTTTGATTCTTAAAATATGCATGACCTCAAAATCGATTAGCTCCCACAGATTTTTTATCGCTTCACTGTATAAATAAAATAGAATTAGTCATAAAAAATGAATATAAAAAAATAAATTTAGAACAAAATTAAAATTTTTAAATATGAATTTTAAATAAAAAATTCGTAGTCAACTTGAAATATAAAATCTGTATCAAGAGCCATACAAACATTCATTCTTTATGTTCCGTATACTATATATAGGAAGGTATTTTGAATTTGTTCATACTTCTAATAATAAATTTTGTAGCCACATCTAGTATACATTATATAAGTTCTTTAATATAAGAGTTAGATAATTAATTTTAAAATATTAAAAAATTAATTGTTTGTTATTTGTCACAAATGCGTGTTAGTCTTCCTAAACTAGCCTCTTCAATTATATGCAATAGATTATTAGAATTATCTCTTGGTGTACCTCTTACCTCTTACAATCAATGGGGATATTTTGTGAAAAGGTAAAAGGCAAAATAAATTGAGGTCTTATATTTAAAATCAAATTTAGCTCATCAATTAGCTTTTATATTAAGTAGAGTGGGTGGTATAACATATAAGAACGCTGAATAGCTACTACAAAAATTGGAATTCAATCTTTAGATTTCGTGCCATGGATAGATCTGCATTATTGTAAAGATGAATTATAAGTAAGAAATCGATTGGAAACTTAAATATAAAATTTTTATGCAACCTCAGAAACTCAGACTACTTATTCCATTCTTAAGAACAAAATCACATAACAATAATGGGGAAGCATAGGTTTTCATCTCAGAAATTTACGGATCCAGTTATGATATCAGCAATAGCATAACAATAATAGGGCAGCATAGGTTTTCAGCTCAAAAATTTATGGCTAATTGCTTACAAAAATTCTATTATTTCATTAAGAAAAATTAATAAAATTTTGCATTTGAAAACTTTATCAACAACCTTTTTTAAAAAAAAAAACTCTCAAATCATAAATTATTTTCAGAACCAAAAAATAAAAATTTTAAATATTCAAGGGGAAAAAGTTAAGACCTCAAGTATAGTAGATTAATGATTCTGTAAGAGCAATAGTCCCACCCATCAAAATTGCAAACATCTTCAACATTATACTTTGTTATCTCAGGAGCAACCAGTAATAAAGAATTCTAAAGTTCCATCTGCAGCAATTCGAAAATAGAATAATCAAACGTACCCATCTTCAAAAATCCAGGCCTTTGACAAAGAAGCTGCTTCAGACAAAGCAAACCTCCATTTCCGCACTTTCACCAAGTCATCTCTGAACCTATCTTCAAGAGCAGCCATGGCTGTTTCAAAGCTATTTCTCTGATACTGAACATCCAACGGATCCACCTTGTAAAAGAGGGGCATAACCAGCTGGTTCTTCTGCTTCTGACACCAAATGATATGGGCAAGTTCCTCTAGGCACCATGTGGAAGTAGCATAGTTCTTAGAGAACACGATAATGGAAATTCTTGATCTCTCAATGGCTCTAAGAAGCGTAGGTGAGATCTCTTCCCCTTTCCCAAGCCTCTTGTCATCAATGAAGGCATTGATTCCCTTACGGCGCAAAGCATTGTAGAGAGGCACAGTGAAGGTGTGGCGAGTATCTTCGCCTCTGAAACTCAGAAAAACATCAAATCTGTATTTGGGTTTGCCGGTGAAGCTATGGGATGAAACTTGAATAGCCATGGATCCAATAATCTCTGAATGGTGGCCAGATATTGGGATTTGAATGCTCTAGCAAGGCAGAGAAATTTATGCGAAAGTGGTGAACTTGAAAAAAGGCATAACACCGCGTTTGATCCTTCATTAACAAATTTCTCTGAAAGTTCGAATTTGGAAAGTTCAGTCAGATTGGAATATTAGAGAGGAGGAAGAAACGGTGAGTGTTTATTTTATTTTATTGTCGACGAAGTATATATGCTCTTCACACTTAGCCGAAAAGTTACTATAAAGCGTGTTAAGACTAGTCTTTCTGGATGTTTCGATAATTTGCGTTCATACCAATCATTCCCATGCATTGAATCGAAAAATCAAGGAGCGATCATCATGTTTACAAAATCTGTGGATCAACTTCTATTTAGAACAAATGCATAAGTCGAATTTATCGTCAACTCAACTTTAATATAGCATAATATACGAAATCATTTCTTTCAATTCACAAAAGTTTTCTCAAATAAAATATATAGCAAATTTTATAAAACCTTCAGAAACTTCATCATAAAGGCATTAATAATAATAATAATAATACCGAAGCCATTAACTATCAACCACGATGACATGTAGAGCCGTCAAAATAGGCCAAGCCTATCGGGCTAACCCTTTTAAGCCCTTTTAAATGGAGAGCCGGGCTTGTATTTTAGGTGGTTTAAAAGAAAATTGGGCTTAAAAGTGTAACATCCTAAGTTTTTATCGGGTTTAATAGCCTCTTTTGGGTTGATTTTGAGGATAGATTAGTGATTTAATCTTGATTTGGGTGTTTGGGTTGGATTTGAGGTATGTTGGAGGTATAGGTGAACGTACCCCTCTCAGGGTATGTTCGCTGCGGCGAACCGGGAGTTCCTAGTAGGCTATGTCTTTCGGGCAGGTTTGGCCGCGGCGAAGTCTTGGGGACGCCGCGACGAAGTTGTTCTGGTGAGCGAGGCTTCCCTTTCGGGAAGGTTTCGCCGCGGCGAAGGTAAGGGCACGCCGCGGCGAAGTTCTTCTAGGCGAGCGAGAGTTTCCTCTCGGGAAGCTTTCGCCGCGGCGAAGTTTGGAGTTCGCCGCGGCGAAGTCGGTTTTTCAGGCGAGTAATCCCTCTCGGGATTAGTTCGCCGCGGCGAAAGGTCGCGATTCTATATAATCGCTGGAGGGTTCAGATGTGCGAAAATTTGAAAATCTAAAGGAGGAGAGAGAAGCTCTGCTAGGGTTTCGTGGAGGAGGCTTGAGAAAGGCATTTCTAAGGATCCATTACCTCAAGTAAGTGATTTTAACCTCTAATCTTCTTTCTTTCTTGGAATTTCTTGGAAATTTCTGAGGATTTTTGGTGAAACCCTAGATTTTCTAAGTTGTGATTGAACTGAGGTTTTTGACCGATTGTTTTGGGTTTAATTGATTGCATTGGGTTAGTTTAAGTATTTAATCGGTGTAGTTTTCTTAGATTTAAAGAATCTTGAGTTTTGGAGTTAGGGTTTATGGAATTGGATGATTTGGGATTGAGGATGATAATGTAGAGATTGATTTTGAGTTTTGTGAATTGGGTTATGTTAAGGAGGGTTAAATTGAATGTTTAATCGGTTTAGATTTGTTGTTGGAACCTTAATTGTTCAAATGGGTTGTTGGAGGTTGAATTCCTATAGTGGGCCCTTGAGGTTTGAACTATAATTGATGCTTGGAAGGAGACCTGATGTTTTAATAGACTTTGAGGACTTTGGAGTGTTGTTTTGATAGTTATACCCTTTGAGTTGGGTAGAGTTTTGATGGGAGATAGGAATTTTGTGTCCCCAAGTGTTGTTTTTGGCCACATTATTAGTTTGAAAGCTAATATATGTTGGTTGTGTGTTTGTGTGCTTGTGTAGACCGGTTGTGAGTCTTGGTGGTGCACGGGGCCACATTGTTGATTGTTATTCCTTGCTCAGGCGAGAGGTAACCACTTTCCAATCCTTAGTACTTGCTTCTGTGGTATTGTGAGTAGATTTATGTTTTGTGCTCTAAATAGGAATTATGTTCGAACCGTATGTTGTGTATAAAAAGAAAACCGTCTTGTGGGGGTTTTGACTAATGATGAATGAATTCTTGAATTGTGAAAGATATGCCACTAATGAGGTTAATTGTGAAATGAATATTACTCTTTGATCATGATTTGAGCATGATGCATTGATTGGGGATTTGGTGAGAGTTTGATAGTTACTACCACGTGGTAAGACCTCCATTAATGCATGATGGTTGGCTCTTTACGTCCCCCATAGTGAGGGATAGGCCTTCGGGCTCATTACGTCCCCCAGAGTGAGGGATAGGCCTTTATGGCTCCTTACGTCCCCCATAGTGAGGGATAGGCCGGGTTCGGCTCCTGAAAATCCCCCAAAGTGAGGGATTTGGTTGATGGGTTTGCATCATTCCACTTGCATAAATTGTTGTGGCTATCATTATGTATTATTTGTGAACTGCCCCACTTGACACCTCACGAGCACCTATTTAGTAGTACCTAGTATTGGAAAGGTTGGTTACTGGGACTTTGTCTCACCCCGTGGTTTACAATGTTTTCAGGAGAGGGTTCTAGGCGAGCACCTTCTGGAAGAGACGCAGAGGCTTGAGCTGGGTTAGCTTTAGGCCTCTAGCATTTGTATATGTATGAGTAGTAGTTATATTGCCACATGTAGGACCGCTTTTGGTATTTTTGATTACCCGGCCTTGTTGTAAACTGAATAGAACGTATTTCCTTATTTTGGTTGGCCGGAGGCCATTGCTATTGCTTTATGGAATATGTTTTACTTGGTGGAAAAAACTATTTTGATGGGCTGATTTTGATGTGTGTGTTACCCGGGCCGGAGGCTCGGAGGCCCAGTAGATATGAATGGACTATTTTAGTTGCATGCAACGTCCATCTGGTGGACCCCAGTTTGAAAGTCAATTTCTACAAATATGAAATTTTCCTTCTACTATGGTAGCTCGTTTTAACAGCTTTCCTTTTCTACCATAGTAGTAGACTTTATGACGAGTTACGATGTTTTGGAGGTTAGGGGTTTTACAAAAAGGGCTAGCCCTATAGGGCTCAAAAATAAAAGGGCAAACCCTTTAGGGCTAAGGGCTAGCCCTTTTAAGCCCGCTTATTTTTTTAATTATTATCAATATATTTATAAAGTTATAGATTAGTCTTTTATGAATAAGTTTAAATTAAAAAAATACCTAGAAGAATCAATACTCAAGCTAAATAATTGAAAAGAATTAAATGTCTTGGACTTGTGGAAGAACAATTGAAATCAATTTTTAATTCTTTCAAGAATGGTAGCTGATATTCTTAACATTTTAATCACCATAATAGCTAGTAGATCTTCATTTACCATCGGTTTACATATCTTAACAAAGTATAAAACTTTTCTTATTCGAACAAATGTTCAGGTTCTTATTTGTACTTATAACTACTTTATAGTTTTATTTTAGATAAGGTAAATGAAGACAAAAACCTTAATATTTTTATCACTGAAGAAGAGCTCACTTGTAGCAAAGAATAATCAAATATTGCTGATCTTGATGATACTGATGAAAATGAAGATAAAGATAATAATTATATTGATATTGTTAATCTTTAACTGCTAGGTTTTATCTTTCTGTTTTTCGTGTTTTGTTAGATTTTGATTTTTTTTATTTTGGACAATAGTTTATTGGCATTTAATTTTTTTTCTATACACCACTAATTTATTTTACTTATATTTATAATTTGAATAAAAAATCTTAGAAGTTTTGTTGTTTTATTTTTTATTTTAAAATAATTAAAAAGAATTTAAATTTTAAAAAATAACATAAAAGGGCTAGCCCTTTTAAGCCCTGAGCCCGCATATTTAAGGGCCAGGCTTTAATAATTGGATAATTTTAAGGTATGTGGGCTTTAAAGGGCCGGCCCTTTTAGGCCCTGGCCCTTATTGACAGCTCTAATGACATGCCATACATTTTCTTTAATTTACAATCAAAATAAATATCAACTCCTTTACTTATCCAACAAAATTTCTCTGTAATAACTATATTTTTATTCTAGTTTTCTTCTCATTTAGTTTCTTTTCAATATCATTTATTTCATTAAAATTTAATATTAATAGAGAAGATCTACTTTATTTTATTTTCTTTTTAAGAATGTGACCCTCTCCGCAGGATTTAGATAATTGTTCCACCTTAACATTCAAGTTATTCCATATTCCCAAAATGTGTCCATGAATGACACGTGAAGGCTTAATACGGAGGGGGGAAAAAAGGTTCAGATTGAGTAAGAATCCATGTTGCTTTGAATCAGATTCCTCTTTTATTTCAAACATGCCCTTAATGAATTGATGCACTTCCATGTTCCTGAAAGCTTAAATATTATAACTGAAAGCTTACGGGTCCTGGAATATTAGTCCCTATACTGAGACATTTATGAAATAATATGAAATATAGGAAAACAAAATATCAAGATTCTTGCAATCTACAAATGTTCGACAAATATGTTTATCAAGATCACGTCTTGATTGCCTTTAATTCGTGTCCTCTTATTTTTCCATTCTTTATTTTTTTTTATTCTAGTTATTGGCAACCATGGAGTCAAATTCCAAGGTGCTAATTCGCTCTATAGAATGAAAGCATATAAGTGATGCTGTTGCGAAGTTCCTACATGAGATTCAAAACTGATTGTGCCAATCATAGATAAAGTACCAATCTGAACTGAAAATTTAATTCATATCAGAGAGTAATCCTCATATATAATACCCAGCACACTTATTTTCCAAAATAAAATAGAATACCCATCCAAGTAGATCTCCTCCTTCAATTAATGCTTTATACTAAGCAGAACTCACAAATTCTCTCCCCCCTTCCAGGTTCAACGCCAGACCAGATGGATAAGCATCGGTGAGGTGAAGAAATAGCAGTACCCAGGAAGACGAGAGCAAAACGCTGACCGACTATGAAAATCTCCCTCTGTTTCTACTAATATCATCATCATTTTTAAGTAAAGGGGCTTTGAACTCAACACTCAAAAGTACGCAACAAGCGCCACTTCTCTTCCATCAGGCCACCACTTCACTTGATACTTACCTGCAACATTTTATTAAAATATTGATTATGAAGGAAATATTTGTTTTATTTTATTTTTTCAGTCCCTCACACCATTCTGTTTTATTTTCGAGGCCATTTCAAAAGTGAGTTGATGGTGGAAATTTTTTTAAGGTACATTGAAAAACGAACTGTATTGTAATAAATAAAAGAAATACCATAATAATAAGCGGTCCTCAAGCATTGGATTTGCTGAAACAGTGTTTTAGTAATGGTCAAGTAGTGGGAAGCATATTTATTTAAAAGAGCTTTAGCCTTAATGCTCTTGGCTCAACAGAGCTATTAGTCTCAGGCTAAAAGTGACTTGAAGATACTTGGACTTATATATTGGGAGGGGCCTGGCTGAAGTTTGAGAATAAAGTTTGTGTAGTATAGATGTTTTGAACCTTAGATGTCTAGATGATTTTTTGAATAATGGTTTTTCTATGCCTCAGATTGCTTGAAATTTTAAGCGGAAGGATCGGCGTTCATTTTGTTGTTGTTGTTGTTATAAATAGACATATTAGGGAGTGTTAAGACAGAAACAAATAAGCCCAATGATATGGATACAAGTCCTAATAGTAGCTTCACAATTAACTGTCCAGCCTAAAATATTCTATTTATTCACCATCTAATCCCTACAGTGCCTAGTATAAGCATTTTAAATTAATTCTACGTATACTGAAAAAACAAAAATTAAAAGCATTAATTAGTAATTTTCAATAATATATGTATGAAGTACACTAAACTCCAACATAATATAAACTTCCCTCTCTCTACTATTCATAGTAAATATGGGCAAATATTAAAAAAAAATATTTAGTACTCCAAAAAATTGCCAAATGTCTTGAAAAACATTATCAAAAGCATCTTTTAGAAGCAGATGCCCTTTACATAAAACGGGAAGGGGCATTCATAAATTCTTTATTATTTTCATTCGTATTTAGTGCCACATGTAACTAACAATTGTCTAATAATTATTTGATAACTAATGATACAGAGATCTCCAAAAAAGCTTATTAATTGGGAAAAACCATCTTTCTCTTGTAGCACGAATGAAAAGTATGGTGTTACTTAAGTGTCCTGGAATACATGAAAGGGAAAGTGATATTAGTAGTTAAAAAAAAAAAAAACACAGAGAGAATCCATGAAATGACAATTAGTACTTGCGTAGAAAGAAGATGCTCACCTTGACCCTTTCTTTGTGTTACTGGGTTTTCCTCTGTATATCAGTTTGTTCTGAGGACCTTCTTGGGTCGTTCATAATTAGGAGAAGAAGCCATAACTCTTTGTTCCAGTGAGGTTGTTGAAGCATGAGAAGACTTGAACTGCACATTCTCCATGTTTGTTTCCTTGTAGAAATAAACTCCACACTTAGCTATGGATGTATCTGGTGAGCGAGTCATATGTATTTTCACCTCATGCCAATCCAACCCCATAAACTTGTTCACGTGCCTTTGCTCTTCTTCCGTAAATTGCATGAATCCGTCCAATAATAACAAGTCACCTTGTTGAGCAAGAATTTGCCATTTATAATCAAAATCTTGTTTCATTATTTGGACACCGTTGATGCTCATAAAAACTGGGAAGTGGATCTTTTCCCTACTCATGTTCGCCTTCCTGGAAATCTCAAATGCAAGAACACCACGAGGTAAATTCCCACGAACGCGAAAACACAATGTGCCACCTTCGCAGCAATAGTTGAACCAGTCAGGAAATGTTGTTGCTGTCACTTGGATTGTCAAGTCAGCCAACTCCTTTTTTGCCTGATTTACCAAAACAGCAGACAGACCAAATGCGTTCTCAGATTTTAAATATGACAGGATCTCAAGAAATTCATCATTTCCATTACCTTTCAGCGGCGGCTCATTTTGTCGCCGCTGATGAGTAACAACGACTTGGCTGTCATTACTGAAAACTTTCAACAGCACTAAAAGTCAATTTTTTGTAATGTTTTATGGATTGTTATCTTGCACAGGCAAAGTGTTTGGTTGGTGGGATTGACTTATTCTGATTATTAACGTTTGAAATGGAAAAAGAAAGAGAGAATAGATCGACAAGAACAAGAAGAAAAAACCTGAGAATATAAGTTGTCCAATGATTCTGCAGTCAATGATGTGCAATTCACTGCTTCAATTCGAAACAACTCTGGCGGCAACTCTGGTATGTCTCTTTACCTCTTGCAATCACTCACGTTTAGCCTCCAAAGATTCGTGCACTCCTTAATGCACATAGGGAGTGACACAAAGTCATTCCCCGATAGATATAACTCTCGCAAATTTCGAAAACGGTTCAGAATTAGGTGAAGTTCTTCATCCAATAGACCACAATTCATGAGATACAATCTCTGCATATTACAGGTGCCGACAATTGGTTGCATATCTTGCATTAACTTCATCCAAGACCTTCTGCTATGAGGATGAACGCCCCCGAAATCAAGAACCTCGAGAGTTGGCAACCTGAATAAGCTGGTTGGAAGTTCCCCAAGACTTGTGCAGGAGGACATATATATATATCGAATCCCTGAAAGATTTTCAAGTGAAGGTGGAAGCTCCTTAATAGCAGTGCCATCTATTGAAATCAGCTTTAGTGCATCCATCTTTCCCACGACATGCGGGAAGTACTCAAGACTCTCGCATGCTGTAAGAATAAGATCTTCAAGTGATGCCATCTTCATTTCACGTGGAAAAATAGAAAGTTTGGTGCATTTTCTTGCATCTAAAATCATCAACTTAGGGAGGGATCCCAATGAATCATGAACTTTTATCAGATTGTCACAGAATGCCAAACCCAATCTTCGTAAACATTGACATTGGGACATATCAGGTACCTCAGTTATGAATTCACAAAATGAAAAATCCAAATGGGTCACGTAGCTAGTAACAACCTACAAAACAAATACGATACTATTTAATTAGATCGTCCAAATTGCTAAAATTATGCAAATCCATTATATGGATTATTGTCTAGTTTAAAGTCAGATAGTTCAAATTTGTTTCGAATTTTTTATAGTGAGTCTTAGAAATTTGTTTTACTTGATACATTTTCCAGACAGCGATGTTTCGAAGACCATACTGGGTTGTTAATTATTCCTAGAATATTGTGAAATGTGTTTTATAATTAGTATTAGCAAATGTATTAAAGCAGATGCTTTCAAAATATAAAAGACATTTATATGTTTTTGAAGCATATATATGAGACTATAAAACAGAATACCCTATTCAATTTTATAACAACTATGTCAAACTTATTTAAACCAGAATAATACGGAGCATGATTATTCTTGATTTTAGGATGAAAATTTACAGCTAAAGAAATTTGGCAGGCCAACAAGAAAAAGGGAGAAATTTGACTGAGAAAATAGCTATAAAAGATTATTTTAAAAAGTACCTTGCATGGCTCTCTTAGTCTATAAGAGCTTCTAGGCAACTTCAAGAAAATTAGCTCTGAAGGATAAAAATCTTTTGGCAAAGTTGCAGAAGGGTATCCCTCCCATTCAAGCCACCTTAAACTATTAGGAAGATAGGTAGGGCCAGTTGAAAATTGAACATTTCGAACAACAAGAATTCTAATATTATTCATCTTCTCAAAGGCCGTACCACTCCAGTTTACTTCCTCTTGTTCTGGAGGATCAAGCATTATTCCTTCAACATTATTGCATCCCTATATCACCAAAAAGAATATATTAAAGCATCCCTATAGTGAAGATTAAAAGAAGTATCATTAATAGATATTGCCACGTAGTGTATCACAACAAGTCTAATGTATATATTTTTGTATGAAGAGACAAACATAGTTTAGATTCTTACTAGATTTTCACGCAGTATCTTAAGAACGTCTTTGTAATACCATAATCTACTGCGCTTTTCAGGATTTAATGGTGCCTCTTGTCTGACAATCTCTCTTCCCATCTGTCGTATTAGATCATGCATGAAAAAAAAATTACCACCATCAACTAAAGTTATCAGAGATTTGTCGACAAGAACTTCAAGATAAAACCTAGCACCAAAATCACAAGCTTCTACTATTTCTTTAATAGATCTCATCATCTCGTTGGTAATAAAACAAGCAATATCTAGGAAAATATGCTTAGCACCAGCTTGTAAGAAATTATAGCTTATCTTTAGAAGCTCATGAATTGTTCTTTCTGGGATCCTTTCATATTGTTCCATCATAAACTTCCATTCCTCTAAATTTTTATCTGCCAAATTGGAGCCTATTACTTTTAATGCCAGAGGAAGGCCTTGTGCATAACTCATTGCACGACTAGACATATCTTGATAGGTTAAGGGAGGTTGGTTCATTTGGAAGGCATGCCAACAAAAGAGCTCACAAGAGTCATACTCATTCAGCTTCATCATTTCATATATTTTTCCAACATTGTGTGCAACTAGCATTTGCTTATTTCTTGTTGTTATAATAACTTTGCTTCCAAAACCAAACCAATCGCATCCTCCCGCAAGTTGTCCTAACTGTTCAACCTCATCAACATCATCAAGAACCAAAAGAACCCTTTTGTGAGAAAGTCTATGTTTTATTCTTGACATTCCTTTATCAACACTCCCAATCATCATAATCTTCTCCGCAAGAATCTTTGATAGAAGTTTCTGTTGGAGGCGAACGATGCCCTGGTATTTCTTTGTTGCTTCTTTGACATCAAACAAAAAACATGCACCTTCAAACTGGTAAAACATTGAATTATAGACAGCCTTTGCAAGTGTTGTTTTGCCAATTCCACCAGTTCCATGAATGCCCAACATGCAAACTCTGTCATTGGATTGATTTAAAAGTGAAATCACTTCTTCCACGCGAGGCTCAAGTCCAACCATGTACCCAGGACTATGTAAGCGTTTAGGAGGCAACATAGCATATGCATCTTTAACAATCCTTTCAATAAACCCAAATTCATACCTACAAAAGAGAAAATTATATCTCTTTTTACTATGAAGATGATTCATGCAAGTATAATGTCATTCTTTTCTTTTGTTTTCTCATCATATACTACCTCTAGTCCTAAATATAAAATCTCGTTTATAATCTATAAACAAGATCTTATATTTATGACTAGAGGTAGTATTTTTATATGCCTTCTTATTATGATTCTTAAAATACGCATGACCTCAAAATCAATAAGCTCTCAAAAAAATTTTTATCCCTTCACCGTATAAATAATAGAGTATTAGGTGTAAAGAAAAATAAATCTAAAAGAATAAAACTAGAACAAAATTAAAATTTTTAAGTATTAATATTAAATAAAATTTCGTAGTCAATTTGAAATACAAAATCTATATCAAGCCGTTGCTAACATTCATTCTTTAAATTCATACAATATACAAGAAAACATGTTGAATTTGTTCATAATTCTAATATTGGATTTTATAGTCACATATATTGTGTGTGTGCGCACACATATAATATAAAAACAATAAATAGCTACTACAAACAATGGAATCCAATCCTTAGAGATTTCTTGCAATGAATAGTTCTGTATTGTAATGGTGACTTATAAGCAAGAAATCACATAATAACAATGTGGGGATAAGTTTTCATGTCAGAGTTCTATGGGTTCAGTTATGATATTAGCAATGACCAATTTTTTTTAATAAAATTTGATTAAGAAAAATTAATAAAATGTTACAGTTGAAAACTCTGTGCCGTTTGGATTAGCAGTGAACAACTGTGATTTTAGATAATCGTGAATTTTATAAGTGATATTAACTATAAATAATACTAGTTAATCATGATTTCTATTTGGATTTTTTTTATAAGTGATTTTAAGAATTGTGATTATGTTTGGTTTTTATTTATTAAAATCACTTATGGGTATATAATTACTAAAAAGGACATGAAGTTAATAAAGTTGTTTACATTTTCATAATTATTATATTTAATAATAAATTTTATTAAATATAATTTAATAAATGACATGAATATTTAAATATTATTTTTATTTTAAAATTATTATTATTTAAAAGCACTTACAAAATTTATGTGTAGTACAAATATTAAATAAAAGACCCCATATAAATAAGAGACGAATGAAAATATAAAAAAAATTAAAATAATTACCATTAGAATGAGGGGTAGATTGGAGAAAATTTAGTTACTGAAGATTCATTGGGATTTTTCAAAAGCATAAGCTACTTCTTATTGCTTATCCTAAAAGTGTGGTGGAAGGTTAAAATCACGATTCATCGGGATTTTATAAAAATTATCCAAACACCCTAAACATGTTTCATAAGCTCTTATTTGAATTTAAACGGGCTTATTTGAAATCCCACCGCTTAACCAAACAGACTCTCTATCAACAAGGTTTTTGGAAGGAAAAAACCCCCTTAAATTATAAATTATTTTCAGAACCAAAAAAAAAAAGACCTCAAGCTTAGTACTTAGTAGATTAATCATTCTGCAAGGGCAATAATCACCGGTCAAAATTCCAAACATCTTCAACAGTAGTTTGTTACATCATATGAGCTACCAGTGACAAATAATTCGAAAATTCCATCAGCAGCAATTCGAAAGTAGAATAATCGAAAACATACCCATCTTCAAAAAGCCAGGCTTTTGACAGAGAAGCTGCTTCAGACAAAGCAAACCTCCATTTCTGCACTTTCTCTGGGTCATCTCCGAACCTATCTTCATAAGCAGCCATGGCTGTTTCAAAGCTATTTCTCTGATATTGAACATCTATCGGATCCACCTTGTAAAAAAGGGGCATAACCAGCTGTTTGTTCTGCTTCTGACACCAAATGATATGAGCGAGTTCCTCTAGGCACCATGTTGAAGTAGCATAGTTCTTAGAGAACACAATAATGGAAATTCTTGATCTCTCAATTGCTTTAAGAAGCGTAGGTGAGATCTCTTCCCCTTTTCCAAGCCTCTTGTCGTCAATGAAGGCGTTGATTCCCTTACGCCGCAAAGCATTGTAGAGAGGCACAGTGAAGGTGTGGCGAGTATCTTCGCCTCTGAAACTCAAAAAAACATCAAATCTGTATTTGCGTTTGACAGTGAAGCTGTGGGATGAAACTTGAATGGCCATGGCGGGATTAATCTCTGAATGGTAGCAAGGTACTGGGATTTGGATACTCTAAATAGGCAGAGGAATTTATACAAAAAGTGGTGAATCGGCAAAAAGCATAACACCGAGTTTGATCTTCCATTAACAAATTTCTCCGAAAGTTGGAAGTTGGAAAGCGTAGTCACTAGTCAGATGGATTATTAAAGGGGAAGGAGAAAGAATCAGAGACCATTCCGGGATTGTTGAACATACTAACTTGCAGTAGCTGAGACTTGATCAATGAGGGTTGTTGGATAATAAAATATGGGCCAAGTTTCGATCAACTTGTTTCATAGTTTATTATTTGTCGGTGGCGGAATAACATCAAGACAAAATCCAAAGCATCCTCGTCATCTTGTCCAATATAAAATTTAATCATGGTTTGATTTATTTTTTTTTTTAGGTTGAGGCCACGATATTCAGCACTGATAATATTGACTATTTTCCTCATATTGTAGACTTTTCGAATGGACTTTATTGCTAGTCATGAGATCTTTTCCATACACACCACCAGGAATCAAATCCTTGACCAGATGTTGAAAGAACCTAACTAAATGTCCGGTGTGGTAACTTTCCTGCTTTGGATTTATTTGATATGCATTCCTCCTTTTTGTCATAAGAAAATTGGTACTACCTCCTAGTCTTACTTTTAATGAGTGTTTGGCTACCTTTTTCGACATCATGATTTTCTAAAAATAATTTTAGAAAGATATTTGGATGACAGGATCCCTAAATCATGATTTTGTATCCCAAACCATGGTTTTGCTTGTTATGCAAACACTCCCTTAGTTTAATTTCTGTGTTAGAGTGGATATTATATTAAGAGGGGGATTTATTAATATTTTCATGGGACAGATGACCTCCTTCTTTCTTATTGGTTGCTCTCTTGACTAATGCTGCCCACGTCAACAAGGGATTGAAAAAATGGTTCGGATGAAAGGCATCCAAAAGATTGAGGACCAGGTTCAATTTTCTGATGAGGTACAGATCTTGTCAGGTCTTCCAGGCTGCGAGATCACCATTTGAATGCTATTTTTTTCCTATGACTTTTATTGGGAATTTCGGAAAAAAAGTTTTTTTAAAATAAAAAAGTAAAAAAAAAAATCTTTTAGGCAGTAACTTTATCCATTACATAAAAAATGCTTGTGAACCCATTTATTTTCTACTCCTACCAAAATATTTCCAGCGAACCAAACAATGAAGCTTGAGAATTATCAACGGATTCGCCTTTCCAAATCAACATTCAGTTTTCATAGAAAGTCCTTTTCTTTCCGGTTAATTAATAATTGATTGGCCGTTTAATATGTGATACCTAAGAATATGCAAAAGCCTCCAGAAATACTTAGCCATAATTGAAAACACCATCTTTAATCTTTTACTTCTTTAATCTTTTACACATGTAAATTTCATTTTGGTCCCAATTTTTTTAGGCCTTAGTTCCCTTTCTCTATATATCCTCACCAAACTTGATAAAAGTCCACAAAATGATATAAAATAACATCACAACATAGGGACTTATCAATCATGGGTCATGTCCTTCACCCTCTGATCATCGGTATTCATATCATAATCGTGATCAAATACCTATTCACCCTGTTAAGATCCACTCGGCGCCCTTTCCACTTCTTCACCATATCATACCCATACTATAACTCTTTCAAAACTCACAACAGATTAAGTGAGTATTTATATCCAAAAGATTTAGTTGCCTCATTCATACATTCCACCCAAGGGCAATAAAACCCTCCCTTATCTCTAGCATCATTTTGTTTGGCAAACTCCAAAAACTCTTTCACCCTGTTGGAACACAAGTACGGGCATGGGGGAAGACCCAGAAATTAAAACACAAACACATAGAAATCAAAGCATGTTTTGTTTGATTTCTACGACTTAAAGCCCACAAGTCTAGTGGAACAAAATGAAAGGGGTGAAAAGAATTAGGTCTCAAAGAGGAAAAGTAGGAGAAGTTTGGAATTGGTCGGCGATGATGATATGGAGAATGGGGTTTCCAAATAGGAGAGGTTTACAACACGAACAAGATTAAAGATGAAATAGGGACACGACATTGCAAAAGATATCAACTAAAGCGTTGCTTTTTGTGCTCGATTTCTGCACCAGCCCATTATTATATGCAGTATAGCTACGTGTTGTTTGAATTTTGAACTCGCGTACTCCTACTCTTCTTGATATAGAACCTAGTTGTTGAATTGATTTTAATTCTAAATATAAGATCTATTTTTCATAATTATCAATTTTGCTTAAATTATCCTTATGGATACTCCCTATACTATAATCAAGTAGAAGAGGGAGAAATAATATTAAGGAAAATGATCATGCTGTTTTAGGAAAAACATGTTATATTTGTTATAATTAACTAACTTACTAGAGCTGGTAATGCAAGCTGACAGTGCGGATACGAACGAGCTTACAATTACACGGGCTGAAAGCGGTACAAGCAAAAGTAGTCCACACCTTGGCGAGCTGGCATCGCCTAAATTTTTTTTTTATAAAAAAAATCATCATTATTTGTATAGGTTAAGCTTAGTTTGAAATATTGAAATTGGATTTGGAGTTTTAAACTTAAGTAGTGGGTTATAATAAAATAATGTAAGGATTAATTTATAATTTGAAAAGACATTTTAAAAAAACTAACACATATTTTTTCTAAATAATTAATTTGATCATTTTTCTTATCCAAATTAATTAAGTAAATCTTTTATGTGTATATTACATATGTAATTACATGAATGAGGAGATGTCAATGTGGAATTTAAGGGTCAAAATCCTCCAATTATGTTGTATAATATATTGGAAATTATATAAAAAAAATAAAAAAAAAAAAAAAAACGAGCTGAAAACGGTGAGGGCTGGAGTAGCCCGCATCTTGGCGGGCTGGCATTTGTTCAACTTGAACCATCCATTTTTGACAGGCTGGGGGAGCCCAGCCTGTATTACCGGATCTATAACTTACCTAATTTCCTTAATCTAATCAAATTAGTTAAATAGGATTTATATTAAAAACTGGAGGAGTATTACTTTCAACTTATTTTTTAATTATTTATACTATCTTCTAAGGTGGACATATAGATGTTCGGTGTAAAAATTTCAAGTCACATTATTGAACGTATAAAGAATTGATATAAAAGTTATATCGATATTTATAAAAATGCTCACATATCTTACATTTTTACGGCAATAAACTGAGCAGATGAGTTAGTCTGGAAAAGAATTTTTTTTCTACTAGTATAGGACTTCGTAATGCTAATTTTTTATTACCGACATGCCTAATGTCATTAAAAAAAATAACGAATCTCCACAAGCATGTGCAAGTGGGAAGCATCAAGTCATTCTGAAACTTTAATTTCCAACCTTCCCAGAGGTTTCTTCATCGAGAGAGCGTATTTTTTAAGTGGAGGGATCATCTCTTGTTGTTGGATTTTATTAAAAAAAAAAAAAAGAAATTGCCATGCTTGGAATTTTGCCTGAGCCATTTGTTTGTTTATTTATTACCTTTAGGTTTGGGGATCATTTGCAGTAGTCATCCACCCTAGTACCCTACCGTTGGAATTCTAAGTGACGGGTTTATGAAATTGAAACTAATTAACTTGATAAAGTTGAGGTAAAAATTAATTATCATAATTTACTTATAATTTAATACTATTATTCTTTTTTAAAAAAAGAATCAGTTTTGCAAAAAGAGAAAAAAAATTGTTATAGACTTGTGTGATTGTGGATCAGCAACTTATTTTAAATAATTTTAAATTATACAAAAACAAATATATCAAAAGAAGTTTTATTTCATAAAAGATAAAAGTGATTACTTATAATAAAACATGAAAAAAAAAACATTGGCCTAGGAATAAGCTGTGCATGCCATGAACATATATATTTATAATTAGCGTAGTCTTGGTCGTCATGGATTTACATTTTTAGCTGCCTTTTCTTCTCTTTTCTTCTCAAAAAAAAATTTTATTTTGTTGACACTTGACTAAAATTTTGATCTATGCTTCAAGAAACCGAATTAAAAGAAAACTGAAAAGAATGATGTGAAAAGAAAAAGAAAATAATGAAGCACTGGGTTACCCACTTCGAGTTCGCTTTTCGGGGAAGGTTATGTGTAGTCTTCATTTTTTTGAGCCAATTAGCAAGACGCACTATTAATCAAATTTTAATATCACACATCTCTTCAAATTTAGTTGTTGTTTAGTCGTAGGAATTAAAAAGTCTTTTTACTGTATAAACAAGGTTTCAATTAAGTCGTCAACTTTAAAAAATACTACCTCCGATCCTTAATATAAGACCCCATTTGACTTTTAGTTTGGTCCTAATTATAAGACTCCAATCCATTTTGTCTCTCATATTTATGCATTTTTTCTCAAGATAGTCCTTCTAATAATGATAGTTCTAACCAACACACTTAATTAGCAAGGATATTTTAGAAATAACAACACTTATTTGTTACAAATAACTAACTTAACTTACTTCCTTAATCTTTTCAAATTAGTCAACTGGGTCTTATAATTAGGACCGGAGGTAGTATATATTTTTATCCTTTAAGACTAAAATCGTGAGGTTGAAATGATAATTTTTTCTTTCGAACAATTATAGTTCTTAAATATGATAATATTTAAGAATGATTTAAACATTTAAGATCTCAATGTTATTATTTTTTAAAAACAATTTTAAGACTAAAAAATAAAAAATATGGTTTTTAAACTTAAGAGACCAAATTAAAACTTTTGTAATATAATTATAATCTTGTGCGCCTGCACGCTACTACGTATATGGTTTTGAAAATTTGCTATAGAAAGAAATGTATATGAACGTTAAGCATTTTTGTCATACATGATGATGATGCTTGTTTCACATAAACTACACAAGTAACTATGGCCAAATCTGGTTTCTCCAACTACTTCTATTTTCACGTCATTCCAAAAGTCCTCTTCCACTCTTCTTCCCCAAAAGCTTCCCTTGTATCAGATATATATTTTCATAAATTTGATATGAAGATGGCAAACAGAGAGATTACTTTACTAAATGAGAGGAGCAATACAGAGTAAGGATACAGGGCGCTTGGGCTTCAAATCCACAGAATATTCCAATAAAGCTCTAATAGCTAAATCTGTGACGAGGCGTTTCACAGCAGAAGACAATTTGATTTTTCAATTTCTTCAGGAACCTATATATGGTCATGCGTCTAGCATGATGCTGGGATACAAAACCGCTCATCTTGGGTAGCCTACGCAGCCAGAATGCCCAACTATCTTAATTGCAGTGGGCGATCTTATATTTCATGATGGAGGTACTGAGCACTTAAAATTATTCTAGTCAACGAATGCAGTAGGTTCTATTTTAGAGATCTGTTGGGTATAAGGATAATATCGAGATATGGGGTGTCAACCATGCGAGTGTGGGTATTTGTGGTATTTGCCATTTGACAGTTACAGAGAAGGGGGCGAGATAATAGGGACCTGGTTATTGGGATGGACAGGGAAATGGTGATGAGTGAATTGTGAGGAGAGCTTCTGTGCCTCTCGAATGCACAGTTAAGCGGTTTCCTTTTGTTTATGTGTGCTTCATAAGACTTACACTCCGTGGAGCTATATTTTCCGTTGATTAATACATACTCCTCTAATTCTTAATATAAAACCCATTTAACTAATTTGATTAGATTAAGAAAGTTAGGTAAATTAGTTAATTATAAGAAAAGTGACATATTTTTTCTAAAACACTATAATCATCTTTCTTAATACCTCATCTCTATCTTCTACTTAGTTATGGTTGAGGGAGTATCCACAGGAATAATTTAGAAAAAATTGATAAATATGATAAATGGGTCTTATATTTAGGACCAAAACCAACTCAACAATTGAGTCCTATATTAAGGACCGGAGGAGTATTTCAGAGCTGTGATCCCATCAAGATCCCATTCTCAATGACTAATCACAAGGATCGAACTCATTAGGCAGAGCAACAGGGGAGTTTATTTGCTGGCCGTTGGTTACAAGCTTCACATTGTGTTAAGAGTTAGTCCACCAGTACTTGTCACAAGGGGCAGTGTAGATTGTGGCAAGATTTGGACTTTGCATGTGCCATATAGAATTCAATGATTCACGTGGGAAGTTCTTAAAACTACTCTGCCCCCAACAAAAAAATTATAGAGTCATCACCTGCAGCCAAAGATAAGGTTTAGATTTTGAAGTGATCCTTGCAAATCCAGAGGCTTTTTTTTTTGGCAGTTTCAATAGTAAATGCCATCCGCAAATGAAACATGAGATCTGCCATTATCGAACCCAAGCTCTTGTGCTTTCGGGTATATCATAAAGCCACTAAGGCATGCCTCGGTGACATGACATTCTTTTCGTCATAAACATTTATTTCCAAATCGTATGGTAATGTATTGGAAAAAGAAACCATTCGTCTCATTGAATTTACAAAAAATCTCCAAACAGATATATACTTACCTTGTGGAAAAACCAACTTTATTTTTGCAAGACGGATGACAAATCTGGTGTCGTTTAATTCTCCTACAATACATGAAAGGGGAAAATTTCAGAATGATAATGAAAACCATGAAGTGAAAACTAGCAGGAAGTAGAAGCTCACCTTATCCCTTTCTGTATTATTGAGTTTTCCTTTATCAGCAACCTTGAACATTCTCAATAACTTCTTGGGTGGTTCATTAGGAGGAGAAGTGACCGCTCTTTGTTTCATTGAAGTTGTTGGAGCATTCGAGGAGAGCATAGAAGACCCGAACTGGACATTCTCCATGTTTGTTTGCCGTTTGTACACATAAACTCCACAACTAACTACGGGCATTTCTGCTGTTAACTTCGTGACTTTCTTTTTCTTGCGGGGGATTAGACATAGGACTTTTATTTCCGCATCATTCCAATCCAGTTCCAGAAAACTATCAAGCCTCTCCCACTCTTCTGGCTCAAAAGCCATTCTCAGATCAAATAAAAACAGATGGCCTTGCCTAGTTCCATAATTTGCAGCATCTTGTCTCCTTTGTGTTTTATGACCATTGATGCTCACAGAAACATGGAAAAAGTGTTTTGAATTTTTGTTTGCTTTCCCCAACTCAAATGCAAAGGCAGCATGAGGGAAATGCCCACGAGCCCGAAAAGACAATGTCCCTCCTTTACAGCATTCGTTGAACCAATCAGGAACTGTTGTTGATGGCATAGCGATGTTCAAGTGGGAGTACCCGTTTCTCGCCTGATGTACCAGAACAACAGAGACGAAAGGTATTTTCAGATTTGAAAACAACAGATAAAAGAATAAAAAGAGAATTATCATTTTCATCCCTAACAGATACGAGCATTTTTAATTTAATCATTTATAGATATTTTCAAATGGCTTAATCCTGCATTCATTGAATTTAACCTTTTCAAAACTTCAATTTTATTCCTAACAGAATGCCAATATGTTCTTAACCCTCCCTGATAATAAGCTCCAGTGATGACTTGAGTTCATGAAATTGTTCACAACTGGTGACATCTAAGCAGAAGAGTTCAACTCAGCAATCTATTGACTAGTACATTATTTTGTGGATTGATAAAGGGAAAAAAGGGAAAAGGAAGGATTCTGTGCAAAAAAAGTTTTGCAATGTGAAATAATTAATCTGACTAGGTAATAGAAGGATTTCATGCAAAAAAGTTGTGGTTAATGGACAAGAAATGAATTAATGGTTTCTTTGAGAAAATAGAGAAATCCATATCCCAAATGGAAATGACCAGCATCTGTCTGACCATTTCACTAGCATTTAATTTGATTAATCTTCAAAATAGCAACAGAAAACGAGTATACAAAAGGGATGACAAAACCTGAGACCATAGATGGCCTAATGACTCTGTAGTTAATGATGTACAATCCTCTGCCTCTATATTTTCCAATTTTGATGGCAACTCTGGTATGTCTCTAAGCCTCTTGCAGTTATTCAGCGCTAGTGTCTGCAGATTAGCACACTCTTTGATGCACTCAGGAAGGGAAACAAAATTGCTCCCTGAAAGAATTAACTTTTGAACATTCCAAAAACAACGTAAAGCTAGGTGAAGATCTTCATGAGTAAGACAACAATTTTCAAGATTTAATGCCTCCAAGTTTGAACAGCTGATAACAGGTTGGCTCTCTTGCATTAATTTCATTAAAGATTTTATGCTTGGAGGTTGAATACCACTTAGATTAAGCCGACTAAGGTTTTGCAATGTGAATAAGCAGCTTGGAAGCTCCCTAATACTTTTGTGGGTGCTTATAGCTAAAGATTCGAGTCTTGGAAGATTTCCAATGGAAGGCGGGAGCTCTTTAATAGCAGTGCCTTCTGCATAAATTGTCCTCAGTGCATCCATCTTTCCCACTATACACAGGAAGTAGTCAAGACTCCTGCAATAACTGAGATGAAGCTTCTGAAGAGAAGCCATATTGATTTCACGTGGAAAGCTTGTAAGACTGCTGCACACACTAAGGTTTAATTCGACGAGCTTAGACAAGGATCCAACTGAATCGTGAACTTTGATGAGATTGCGACACCTTGTAAATAACAATCTTCTTAAATTTTGAAATTGAGACATATCAGGTACTTCAGTTATGAATTTACAGTGTGAGAAATTCATATATGTCACACATTCAAACCTCTGCAAAACAAAAACTAAATTATTTAATTACCAACAAAGTTTCTGATAAAAAAATGACGTTATAATTGTGCAGATCCATGAAATAGATTAGAGGTTTGTCTATGATATATAATGAATATATATAGAAGGAAAGTTGAAGTAGTTTATTCTTGAAGTAGCTATAAATTGAAAAAAAATACCTTGAATGGCTCTTCCAATCTAAAAAGACTACCGGATAATTTGATGTAAACTAGTTTCTTAGGAGAAAAGTCTGGTGGTAGAATAGTAGAAGGGCATCCCGCCCAGTCAAGCAATCTTAAACTACTTGGAAGATACTTTGGGTTGGTTGAAAATTGTGAATTCCGAACCACAAGAATCCTAAGATTACTCATCTTCTCAAAGGCCATACCACTCCACTCCACTTCTTCTTGTTGAGGCGGATCAAGCATTATTCCTTCAATATTACTGCTCCCCTATAATGGAAGTCCAAGGCATAACAGTTAGATATTGCAAAATAGCACAATAGATTTAATGCATATGACCATATGAAGAAAAGACAAGAATTAGATCCTTACTAGATTTTCACGCAATACTTCAAGAACATCTTTGTAATGCCATAATCTACTGCGTTTACAAGGATTTGATGGTGCCTCCTGCCTAACAATCTCTCTACCCATTTGTTGTACTAAATCATGCATGCCCAAGTTACCGTTATCAGCAACAGTTATAAGAGACTTGTCAACAAGAACTTCAATGTAAAACCTTGCACCAAAATCGCAAGCTGCTAGTTTTTCTTCAACAGATTCCAAATCCTCCTCTTTAAAGAAACAAGCAATATCTAGAAAAATACCCTTGGCACCATCTTGTAAGCAATCATAGCTTATCTTGAGTACATCTAGAATTGTTCTTTCTGGGATCCTCTCATATTGTTCTAATATAGACCTGCATTCCTCTAAATTTTTATGTGCCAAATTGGCGCCAATTACTCTTAAAGCCAAAGGAAGGCCCTTTGCAAATCTCATCACACGTTTGGACATTTTTTCATAGCCTTTTGGAGGCTGGTTCAAATGGAATGCATGCCAGCAAAAGAGTTCAAGAGAGTCATGATCATCTAGCCTCTTCATTTCATATGTTTCCTCAACATTACACACAACTAGCAACTGTTTATTTCTTGTTGTTATAATGACCTTGCTTCCACAACCAAACCAATGACGCCCACCTGCTAGTTTTTCTAACTGTTCAACCTCATCAACATCATCAAGAACCAATAGGATTCTTTTGTGAGAGAGCCTGTGTTTTATTCTGGATATTCCTTCATCAGCACTGCCAAACTTTGTCTTCTTTTCCCCAAGAATCTCTGATAATAATGTTTGCTGAAGATGAACAATGCCCTGGTATTTCTTTGACACTTCTCTAACATCAAACAAAAAACACGCGCCTTCAAATTGGTAGAAGATTGAATTATACAAAGTGTACCATTAGTTATCTCCAACCTGTTACTAACCTTTTTAAACTCCAAATATTTAATAATACTAACCATGGTAGAAAAGAATCTTAGTATAATATTTGAAAAGGCTACCATGGTTATAAAAAGAAATTTGATTCGCCAAAAATGTTAATCATGATAGAAAAGACTTGAACTAATTATTCAAAATGTCTATCATGATTATAAGAGTTTTACTAAGCAAATTGTATGAAAACCGTAATTAATAATATTTCACAATAATTGGGCCTTGGGCTTTGCAAAGTCCAGCACGTCACAATTCATCTCTAAGCCCATAACATGATATTTTCTGAATAAAATTTGTCCAAACCAACAGTAATCAACTACTTTCAAAAGTCATTATGGGTTCACAACTTACAGACCCAAGTAACTCAACAACAAAAGTAACTAAGACTATAAGTCTCAAAGAAATCAGAGTATGCAAAAAGAGTTATATGTGGCAATATACAATACTCATCACATGACAAAAAGAAGGCTATACAAGATAAACGTGATAGCTAAGCTTTCGCTGCCTTCCCTGACGGACCAGCCCTAGAGCTATTATCTGAAAATGTTAAACCACGGGGTGAGACAAAAGTCTCAGTAACCAACAATCCTACTCATTAGGCATACAAGTAAGTGTTTGAGAGGTGTCATGTGGAACAGTTACTAAAATCATACATTCACAATTGTCACATGGTTATATATATACACACATATCACAATACAATATCTCACTCTCAATTCCACCTTATTTCCTCACACCTTATTCCTCTGACTGAACCCATGGGCTAGTACTGTCCCATGTGACTGGTAGCTCAACATAATAAGCTCACCGATCAAGTGATGTGAACAGGCCAAAATCCACAGAGCACAGGATCGGACCATGGGTTCCCCCTCTAGTCCACTAGCGGGGTGTCATACGCCCTACAACACATAAAATGGCCAAAGGATCAACCAGTGTACATCTGGCGTCCTCCCACCTTATTACCTCTATAATATGTACAAAATTCACCCCCTTATTCTCCCTATAATATGTCTCCCACCAATCAACGTTCACCATCCCCTCTCGTATTTATACTCATGAGAATAGTAATTTACTAATAACATAATAACTTTCACATTTACCAAAATCGAGATTTCAAAATTTCAATAATCAACATCAATCTTCAAACCATTTCTCAATAAATTCTTGTTCCACATGACAAATTTATAAATTCATAATTTCATACTATTTTTCAATAACATAAAGTATCTCAAGGCAATTTTAACAACGATGTCTTCTATTGCTCAAATAATAATTCGGTAGCATTTCAAGAATCTCATATAATTTGAAATCACTCACAAACATCATACAAGTATACATAACAAGTGGAAAGTGGTTACCTTTCACCAAGGCTATAAAAAGAATTACTACAAAGTCAACCCCGTGCTCAAACCAACAATCCAATAATTAATCTACACCATTAATATAACCACAAATTAATATAATCACATATTAATATAAGCTAATTAATTAAGCTTATATATATAGTTAAATTTCTAATTTAATTAAATTTTTACTCTAAATTCCCACAACTCTCATAACTTAAAAATTATTAAGTATTTTAGAAACAACTTAAAATTTCTAACAACCCAAATTATTTATTTACCACCTCCAAATTATTTACCTTAGTAAAAAGGATTTTCCACAATTTCTAAATATAAAATTATTATGTTCTAAATTCTAAAAATGTCATTTTAAGTTTAAACCTCAAAATCAAACTATCAAAAATTCAATAATACTTCAAGTATTTATAAATAAATAATATGATCAAAAACTTTAATGGTATAGCTACCACACATATATTTCCACAAATAATAAACTTTTTAGCTACAATAATTATTTTAAAACCTCCAGTCACCCAATAAATAAAATTAAACCGATTAAAATCTTAATAATATGCCAAACAACCCAAATAAATTACTTGACTTGAATTTAATCGGTAAAAATATAATATAAATCATATATAACAGATTTTTCAACTAGAAAAACTAATTTAAATACTAAAAACCAACAAATAGACAAATCTAACCGATTAAAATTAACAACTCATTCACTTCTAATTGTCTATAGTCATCTTTTGTCAAAACTCAATACTTAGATCATATATAAATCTCAAAATTTTCTCTAATAACTATAATAACACTGTCATCAGAAAGCTTAAAATATATAGAAAATATTTATGAAGAAAGTTTGATGAAAAGAAGTAATTTTATGTACCTAAGTTATCTCCAAAGGTTGCCTTCTCTTTCACAAAGACTGTTGATATGCTCGTCTCTCTCTTTCCCACACTCTTTCTCGCTTTCCCTCTTTCTCTCTTGTGTTCTCATCTTCTCCATTCAACTCCTCCTTTTATTTTCTATTTTTCAACTACCTTTCCCTTATTTTCTTCATTCTTCATTTATTCTCCCTCCCAAAAGTCCTTCTTCCTAAGTCAACATTCAATCTTTCCACCGAATTCGGTGGAAAGATTACCCCTTTCTTGTTTTTTTTTTAATATTAAAATATTATTATTTTATTATAATAATAAAATACTATTATTATTTTTTTTTACTTTTTTTTTAAATCCTAAAATAAAATTTAGGATATTACACAAAGCCTTTGCAAGGGTTGTTTTTCCAACCCCACCAGTTCCATAAATCCCCAACATACAAATGCCATCATTAGAATGATCCAAAAGTGACTTCATCATTTCTATGCGAGGCCCAAGTCCAACCATGTACTCACGGCAATGCAAGCGTTTAGGAGGTAACATAGCATATGCATCTTCAACAATCTTTTCAATAAACCCACATCCATCTCTACAAAAGTGCAGATTCTCTGGTTATTGTGGATATGATTGTTGCAAAATGCCATTTTCCATTTTTTTTTCCTCATTTATCATAACTCCGTCAAGTAAAATCTCGTTCAATTCTTCAAAGATAACCTCAATCTCAATTAGCTCTCAATTTTCAAATCCCTTCACTATATAAAAGTATTTATATTTGAAATTAAAAAATTACGAGATATATGCGGCCATAATAATATTACCTTTTAAGTAAATTAAAAAGGTCATCATCAAGGCCAAATATATAATATATATATATAAAAAACAAGCAAAAAATAGAATATCTCATTCTTATTGTACATAAGCCAAAAAGAAAAGAAGTGTATTCGTTATGTAGTCAGATATGAATGTCCTATATAGTGTTGTGTTACAAGCAGAATTAGAAGTAACATCAGGATTTGAAAATTGCAAAGATGAAAATATTTGTGAGCAACTGACAGTAATAATAGATAGTTAGATACTGTTTGTCCCCAGCCATTCAGTACCCATCCCGCGATAATTATATTAGCAAATTACTAAATAAAATATAAGTAAGAAAATCAATAAAAATATGCAGTTAAGATTTAAATTAAAAATCTTTTTGTCGAAATATCTGAAACTTGAACATTATTAAAACCAAAATGTTTAAGCCCCAAGTTTACAAAGATCCAAGAATAATAGACGCCGATCAAAATTTCATATATCTTCAAAAGCCTGTCATATCATCCGCAACCACTAATTATTAAGCAAGTTTGAATGTTTCATCCGCAGAAGGCAATTAGAAACAACTATAACGAAGCCTACCCATCTCCCAAAAGCCATGCTGATGGCAAACTAGCAGCTTCAGACAAAGCAGATCTCCATTTTCGCACTTTCTTCAAGTCATCTCTGAATCTATCTTCCAGAGCAGCCATGGCATCTCCAAAGCTGTTCCTCTGATATTGAACATCCATCGGATCCACATTGTAAAATACGGGCATGACCAGTTGGTTCTTCTCCTTCTTACACCGAATGATGTGGGCGAGTTCATCGAGGCACCATGTGGAAGTTGCATAATTCCTAGAGAACACAATAATCGAGATTCTGGATTTCTCAATGGCCTTAAGAAGCGTAGGTGAGATCCGCTCACCTTTCCCGAGCTTCTTGTCGTCAATGAAGGCGTTGATTCCCTTCCGGCGCAGAGCATCGTAGAGATGAACAGTGAAGGAGTGGCGAGTATCTTCGCCTCTGAAACTGAGGAAAACGTCATATCTGTACTTGGATTTGCCGGCGAAGACAGCCGATGATGGTGCTGCCATTCGAATCGCCGTGGCTGCAACAATCACAAAATTCTAGCGAGGTATTGGGATTTGAATACTCAAACCTGGAAGAGAAATTTACACAAAAACGATGAATCAGCAAAGGCAGAGCAAGCCTTTGATGGTTTCCTTTTTTTGCTCAGGCAGATGGAGAGAGCGTGATTTTTTTTCCCATGCGTGGAGGGATTGCAGCGTTGGATTATTAGTTTAAAAAAAAAAAATTGCCAACCTTGCAATTGCATCTTTGGAATTTTGCGTGTTCTATTTAATTATCTGGGAAGTATTTAAAGGCATGCAGCCCAGTACCTACCGTTGGAATTCGGGTTTCCAGCGCGCCGGCAGGCGAGTTTATGAAATTGAAAAGAATCTTTTATGAAGTTGACTACTCGAGTACCAAATAAAAGAATAATTTTTTTAATTAATTTGTTAATTAATATACTAACTTGACCCCAAAAAAAAAATTACTCTAGTACGTTCAGTTTTTAATATAAAAAATAACTAATTAATTAAAAAAATTAAAAATTAATTAAATTGATTAATTGTAATAAGTACATGCTGACTTTTTAAACTGCTCTATTGAGTTAGGTGCATTAGAATTACCTGCAGTGAAAAGCTCTTTACAATCAATATAAGAGATATTTTATAGGAAAGGTTACAAATTATGGAAACAAAGTAAATTAAATTCTTATATTTAGAATCAAATCAAAACCTCTAGTTAGCTTATATATTGATGAGCGGAGATAAAAGTATTTTAAATATATCATGTCAATTTTATTAAGATTGAGTAATTTAGTTAGTTTTCTCAATCTCTACAAATTAATTAAATACGAGTTATGTGATTGGAGGAATATTCATGATTGGATACTATTTTTTCTTTTAAAAATTTTTTTGCAGGTAGCCAAGGCAACTTTATTTAGAATAAAAGCCAAGAAATATTAGTTTCGGGCATAACCATTTTGGCCTTGAAAGCAATTTATCATTGCCAGTCCGGTTCTGCTCATTTTATATGCTGAAAAATGACAACTAAATATATCTTAAATTGATAAAATATTTCAAATTTATTCTTATTAAATTTTTTCTTATTATATTTACAAATTATTCTCCCATCTATTTTCTTCTCTCATTCCAATAAAAATTAAATAAGAATAAAATTAAAAAACTGTCCCTTCAAATAACTCATATTGAGTACCAAGCGATACTACATAAAAGAGCATTAAACCCCAAGTGTTGGGGGCAGTGGTAATCGGCTGACGTTCCGTTCTCAAAAGGTTAAGGTATAATTATGCTTCTAATTTTTTTAGTGTAGCAATTTTGATCTCATCTTTTTTTGGAATGCAATTTCGCCTTCACAATCAGGCTCAAAATTGCATCTCAACCCATTCCCAAAAAGTATACTTGTAGGTGGAAGAGCCAACATGCTGTGTCTGGCGAGGAGTCACCCTGTTTCAGAGTGTCTAAGAAGTGAAGAGGGGTAAAGAAGGAAACTGAAGTTCTAGAAATTCAAGGAGGAGTATTTACGTCCCCCCAGCCTAGAACTCACGTAGTTTAGATAATTTTTGTCGCGGTAATTAAGACCCAATTAACATAGATAAGTTAAATTTTCTGACAATGTCTTTAAATACTACTCTTGCCATCGAAATCAACAATCATGTATATATCAAAAAAAGAAAAAACCCCTATTTCGTTGATAGGGGAAGCCAGAAATTATAGAGAGCTAATAGTAAAGAAATCTCCAAAAATGGTTGCCCCTTGGATAGAGCGTCTTGTACCACGAACGAAAAACTTGGTGTCGTTTTCTTCTCCTACAATACATACAAAGCAGACAAAATTAATAATAAGCCAAAACCTCGAAATAAATAAACGACAACTAGCAGAAGAAAATAGAGGCTTACTTGGTCCCTTTCTTGGTGTTATTGTGTTGTCCTTTATCAGCAGCCTTGAAATGTCTCAAGAGCTTCTTGGCTGGTGCATGAAGAGGAGAAGCTATGGATTTTCGTTTCAGTGAGGTTCTTGAAGCATTATTCATGAAAGCCCTAGGAAACACAAAGCGAATATTCTCCATGCTCGTTTGCTGCTTATCAACATAAACTCCACACTTAATTATGGAGATATTTGGTGAGTCACACATGACTTGTATGTCCACATCATTCCAACCCGATTCCAGAAACTTATTAAGCTCCTCCAACTCTTCTTCATCAAAGTTCTGAAGTAAATCAAATGAAATCACATGACCTTGCTTACCATAGAAAAAGAAGGCATCATATTCTCTACTTGTACCAGTTGCATAAGGAACATCACGTTTTATTAATGACATTTTACGGCTATTGATTCTTATAAAAACTTGGAAGGGAAGACTCTTTCTCGTCTTAGCTTTTCCAGATTCAATTGCGACGATAAGATAAGGAAAACTTTTCCCACGAACACCAAGAGACAATGTGCCTCCTTCGCAGCAATAGTCGAACCAGTCGGGAAATGTTGTTGCCGGCATAGTAAAGAAGCTTTTTGCCTGATGTATCGAAACAACATACACGAAAGACCTTTTCAGATTTGAGAATAACAAATACAATAATATTTGCAGTTTAGTCATTCATAGATAAGATATATCAAGGGCTAAACTATCCTATATACACTCCTGATGTTATTTTCTAATTGCATATGGCAGCCTAATCTTATTTATGGTCTAACGTGTTGGATGCGTTATAAATAAGATTAGAATTAGAATATTAGACGCACAAAAAAATAACATTAAGGTACTGGATGCATCATATATAAGATCAGGGTGATGGACGCATTATATATAAAATAACATTAGATATAAGATCAGGGTGCTAGATACACCTGAAAAATAACATTAAGGTGCTGGATGCTACTTTACACTACATCAAATCACTTAATCACTATCGGTGGGAGTTGGATATAAAGGAAAGGGCTAGTCCCTTATAACATGATGAACTAAGGCTCAAATCCCTGTTGGGAGAAGTGCGTACATTTAGTATTCAACAATACCTCAAATAGAATTACCTCTAATAAAAAAATCACTTAATATCCCATTCATTGTAATGTTTTCAATGAATATTAATTATTAAAGATAACAGAATGACGTTATTAACCCACACTAATAAGAAGCTCTGGTCATGACATGATTTCTAGTAGTTCATACCTGGAAAAGCTTTAAATCCAGCATGACAAGTGAAAATTATCAAAGGAATAAGAAAAACCTGAAACCATAAACGGCTTGATGATTCAGTTGTTAACGAAGTGCAATTCTCTGCCCTCATGTCTTGCAACCCCGATGGCAGTTCTGGTATGTCTCTTAGCATCTTGCAGTTATTTATTTCTAGCATCATTAGATCAGCACACTCTTTAATGCACCCAGGAAGTGACGCAAAATCATTTCCTGATAAATCCAAGTCTTGCAGATTCTGAAAATATTTCAGAGTAAGGTAAACATCATCATCCAAAAGGCCACAGTTTCCAAGATCTAAGCAATCTATGCTTGGGCAACTGATAAGTGGTTGGCTTTCTTGCAGTAATTTCTTCAAACATTTTCTACCATGAGGCTGAAGTCCTCCCAACATGAGTGTGCTAAGATTTTGCAACGTGAATAAGCTGTTTGGAAGCTCTTTAATAGCGCTACCTTCTGCAAAAATACTTCCAAGTGCATCCATCTTTCCAACTAAATTAGGGAAGCACTCAAGGCTCTTGCAGTTAGTAAGAACGAGCACTTCAAGAGACGGCATGTTGATTTCACGTGGAAAGCTGCTAAGTTTGGTGCATTTACCAACATCTAATTTGATAATCTTACCAAGAAGTCCCACTGAATCATGAACTTTGATCAAATTGCGACATTCATGAAAGCTTAATGTTTTTAAATTTTGAAAATGAGACATATCAGGTACTTCTGTTATGAATTCACACCGCGAGAAATTCATGTGTGTCACATATCCAAACTTCTGCAAAACAAAACCGATATTATTTAATTAATGACAATTGTCAAGAAAGATTGTCTTTTGAATAGAATAGTCCAGCCTCCCTTTGATTTATCTAATCTTATGTTGAATCTTTGAAAAATCTCCTCTGAGTCAAAAAATAGTTGAGGATTCTAGAGAAGAGAATAAAAAATATAATCAGTTGAGAGTAATTTATTCGTGAATTTTTAGAAGAACATTATGGCTCAAGAAATTTGATCATAGAAACAAGAGTCAATAAAGTACCTGGAATGGCTCTTCAAATTTGAAAAGACTTCGACATAACTTGAAGCAAACTAGTTTTGGAGGAGAAAAATCTGGTGGTAAAGTCATAGAAGGATATCCCTCCCAATCAAGCAATCTCAAACTATTAGGAAGATACTTGGGACTTGTAAAGAATTGGGTATTTCGAACAATCAGAATTCGAAGATTATTCATCTTCTCAAAAGCCAAGCCGTTCCACATCACTTCTTCTTGTTTAGGTGGATCAAGTATTATTCCTTCAATATCATTTCCTCCCTATAGTACAAGTTCAAAAAAGTGACATTGTTAGATAATTTGTCAAATTTGTACAATTTAATGTATGTAAGGAAACAGATAACTTTTTTTTCTCTTACTAAATTATTTTGCAGCACATTAAGCACATCTTTGTAATACCATAACCTGCTACGTTTACTAGGATTTGAGGGTGCCTCTTGCTCAACAATTTCTTTAGCCATTTGTTGTATTAGATCATGCATCAGCAAAAGACCATTATCAGCAATAGTTATCAAAGATTTATCTACAAGAACCTCAATAAAAAACCTTGTCCCATGGTAACAAGCTCCGAGTATGTCTTCTACAAATTCCAATGTCTCCTTTTTAAAGAAACAAGCAATGTCCAAGAAAATACACTTAGCATCATCTTGTAAGCAATCATAGCTTATTTTCAATATCTCATGTATTGTTCCTCTTGAGATTTGATAATATTGTTTCAATGTATATCTCCATTCCTCCAAGTTTTTGCGAGCCAAATTGGAGCCTATCAATTTTAAAGCCAAAGGAAGGCCACGTATATAACGTATAATACCAATGGACATACTTTTGTATACTTTTGGAGGGTGGCTTGTACGAAATGCATGCCAACAAAAGAGCTCAAGAGCGTAATGCTCATTTAGCTCTTTCATTTCATATTGCTTCTTAATATCGCGTGCAATTAGCAATTGCTTGTTTCTTGTTGTTATAATGATCTTGCTTCCACAACCAAACCAATCACACCCTCCAGCAAGCTGTTCTAACTGTTCAGCTTCTTCGACGTCATCAAGAACCAACAAAATCTTTTTGTGAGAGAGTCTATGTTTTATTTTTGTTATTCCTTCATCAGCACTGCTAAACTTGATCTTATCATCTAGAATTTCTGATAGTAGCATTTGTTGAAGGTGAATAACACCTTGATATTTCTTTGATGTTTCTCTAACATCAAACAAAAAACAAGCACCTTCAAAATGGTAGAAGATTGAATTATAGACAGCTTTTGCAAGGGTTGTTTTGCCAATCCCACCAATTCCATAAATTCCCAACACACAAGCTCTGCTATCAGTTTCATCCAAAAGTGACATCACTTCTTCTATATAAGGCTCAAGTCCAACGATGTAATCAATGTTATGGTAGCGTTTAGGAGGTAGCCTAGCAAATGCATCTTCAACGATACTTTCAATAAATCCATCTTGGTATCTACAAAAGGAAAAGTTAATTTTTTTTTAACTATGAAGACGGTTATCGCCACATATTCTGTTTTATATTTCTATGCTGTTTTAGCCCTCTAAGATTTTAATCCCTTCACTATGCATGTCTAAATGATTTTTCAAGTTATAGAAATATAAATACTCCTCCGGTCATTAATATAAGACCCATTTAACTAATTTGATTAGATTAAGGAAATTAGGTAAATTAGTTAATTATAAAAAAAATGACACGTTTTTTCTAAAACACCATACCCCCTCCCTCTTGTATTTGATTATAATTAAGGGAATATCTACAGGGATAATTTAGAGAAAATTGATAAATATGAGAAATGGATCTTATATTTAGGATCAAAACTAACTCAACAATTACGTCCTATATTAAGGATCGGAGGAGTATTTGTTATTTAAATTCTATCATTTAAGTAAATCCAAAAGTAATGATGCAAAAATCATAAAAGTCAAAATATAGAACTATGTAAGCTTCTAAATTGAAAATAAAAATTATGAATATTAAACACAATCTATAATAATCCTCATAAGAAAAATACTGTAAAAACTACAATTTTATAGAACCTTTGAATTACAAAAGCAAAAGTCACAGATCGAAATTTCAAACACCTTCAATAGCGTTCTAACCACTAATCATTATTTGAAAAATTTATCAGTAGAAGGCATTCAAAAAATAGTATAAGAAAACATACCCATCTACGAAAACCCATGCCGATGATAAGCTAGCAGCTTCAAACAAAGCAGATCTCCATCGTTGTACTTTCTCCAAGTCATCTCTAAACCTTTCTTCAAGAGCAGCCATGGCTTCCTCAAAGCTGTTTCTCTGATACTGAACATCCATCGGATCCACCTTGTAAAAGACGGGCATAACCAGCTGGTTCTTCTGCTTCTGACACCAAATGATATGGGCGAGTTCCTCTAGGCACCATGTGGAGGTAGCATAGTTTCTAGAGAACACAATAATGGAAATTCTTGATCTCTCAATGGCTCTAAGAAGCGCAGGTGAAATCTCTTCCCCTTTCCCAAGCTTCTTGTCATCAATGAAGGCGTTGATTCCCTTACGGTGCAAAGCATCGTAGAGAGGCGCAGTGAAGATGTGGCGAGTATCTTCACCTCTGAAACTCAGAAAAACATCATATCGATACTTAGCTTCGCTGGTGAAGCTATGGGATGATGATGAGGCCACTTGAATCGCCATGGCTGCAATAATCGCGGAGTTGAAGCTAGGTGTTGAGATTTGAAAACTCAAACGAGAGAGAAACCTGTACAGTTAACGTGGATCGTGACTTATATATTAATATATATATATATATATCTTAAATGGATCCACACCTGGCAGAGGTCGGTGCCTTCTGTTTTGTTTGACTTTTGTGTCGTTTCTTGGAGCCACCGTTGATTGAGGAAAGTAACGATGGTGCAGGTCGATGGATTCTTTCCTCCACTTTGTTTTTGTTTTAATTTTTATTTATTTTGAAGGACTCAATGATCTACGGCGGACCAAGTTGCATTGGGTGTGAGGCCAAATTCCTGAGGAGCAACTATGAAGTGTGTGTTTGTGTGTTAAAATGAGTGTTTGCAATATTTATCATAAATAATTTTCTTTTTTTTTGGCCGGAAAATATAAATAATTTTCTAAATAAAAATGATTAAATAACAATTTAATAATAGTCTCGTAAATCGTGAAAATGGATCCAAACGGTACAGAAGTTTTGTTTTTATTTTCTTTTTTCCTCGGCCTAACAAGTGGTGCAGAAAAGGAAGCATCGTTTGACTTTAATTTTATCGTTTTGTGAAGTTGTTTCGAAAATAAATAAATCATTACAAATTTGTATAAAAATTTTATTTAATTCAAAGTCAACAGTTGTTAGATTCTTAAATTAAAGTAATTTTTTGCAGCGAATTCTAGATTGTTTTAGATCAGACTCAACGGTTTTTTTTTTTTTTGGCCAGAAAAAAAAATTTTTTTTTTGGCCAGAGACTCAACGGTTGATGGATACCTAATAATGAGTTACAGACTTGCAGTCACGTACAAGCTAAAATTAATCTGAAGAGAACAACTGTTCTTCAAAATTTCCATTTTTTGTGCTTAAATTTATTTATAGTAGGATAAGTAAATCTAAATTCAATATTTAATTTTTTTCATTGTTTATCAATAAGTAAGGATTATATCAAATTTTATTTTTTGAAAAAATCTTGTCGGGCAAGCTCTATTGATGACTATGAAATAAATGGATCATAGGCCTGTTATTTTGATTGATAGTGTTATTGCATTGAACTTAAAGAATCAAGATAAATAGCTATAGTAAGTGAATAACTAACCATAACTGCTTTACTTTAGATCTATTTTAAAATTAACTAAATTAATACGGTATAGTGCACGATTCAAATTGTATTTATTTTCGGGAGTCTCTAAAAAGATTCTAAGCAACTAAATATATAAAAGATAAAAAATTCACTTGGCAAAAAAGTTTTAGATTTTGAAAATTAATTTTACTTTGCTAACTATATGTAATAGAATCAATCTAAATTACCTTTTTTAAATATTTCTTTTTATAAAAATGAATGAGAATGAATATGATAAAATGCATGAGATGAATACTTCTTGGAAACGGATTAGCGACTTTCATTGTTCAAAATATTTTGAGAGTTAAAAAACAATGCACTAAATCTTAATGAAATATCCCAAAACACCGTTTGGGTCTAGCAATTATAGTTAGTGATTACTCCTACTATTATAGTTAGTAAGCACCTCTTAAGTTGCTATTTAAAATCATTTAGTATGCAACTGTGATTAAATCAAATAGCTCTTCCTCTAAAAGAATAATGCTCAAATAAGACACTTAAAAGGAAGCTCAAATCAATTATATCATCTATAATAACATGCGAAACAGTACAATATGAATAAATTCACAAAAGGAATACAAAAACATAGCATTTAAGCTACATAATCAATCGAAATCTCAGTCTCTAACATTACAGAACGCTATTCTACAAACAAACAGAGAATCCAAATTTAGATAAGAGAAAACGAACTGAATTAAATTAACCCCCCTATTGGCTTCTGGAACTCCAGCCGCTGCTCCCTCTCCAAGAGGCAATGAACTCAGCTACTCATAGAACCCGATGCAGATACAACTCGTATGAAGCACCAAGCAACCATGCAAGTTGAGGTGAAGCGACGGATTCAGGTAAAATATGAAGGAGGCCGAGAGAGGTGATAAAGACGATGCTGGATTGAATGGAATGGAATGATGAAGATGGATTTTAACGGTGATGGTGGTGGATTCGAATATTTGGATTCAAGGGAGATGATGGAATTGGCCGAGAGTGACGAGTATGGAGAATGAAGGACGATTGAAGGCTCCTGTCGCGCACTCTGGACCTCTCGCCGTCGACTCCTCTAATCCTCTGTTCATTCACGCCATCCTCTGTTCAACTCGTCTCTTTCGCGATCTCTCTGCCACCAGGAAGATTCAACGGAGATGAAGATTGGTGGAGAACAGATCGAGCTCCTCTGGTCTGCCTCTGTCGCAATCCTCTGGTCCTTCGTTCTGTCTTCTGCCGTCACTGGTCCTCTCTGCCACCAGGAAGATTCAACGGAGAAGAATGTGAGCGGTGAACGGAGAGAATGCCTGAGGTTGTGATTGTGCCGTCACTCCCCCGGTCTTCTCGTGCTGTCGCCTCTCTTCTACCCTCTGCTTCTCACTTTCTGCTCACGCCGTCCTCCCTCTCGTGTGCCTCTCCTGAAGACGATGATGATGATTTGAATTTTAGGGCAGGCAGTAAAACGCACCGTTTTACTATCTGACCCCCTTTTACTTTTTGTTTAAATATTTCTTTCTATTTTTTTCTTTTTTTATTTTTAATTCTTCAAAAAAACCTGCAATTAAAAATTGAAAGATAGGTTATGACAAATTTACCTCTATTATGCACTAATTCAAGTTAAAACACTCTAATATGAATATTATACTCAAATAATACAATTAAGGACCAATAATAATAACAAAAATCCACTAAAAATATATGAAAGTGCATGTAAAACATAAGTTTGTCAGTAAGCTTGGTGTTGTGACCATATATTGGAAGAATGAAAGAAAGGAATAACCAGCGATATTAAATATTTATATGTTTAATAGCTTCATTACAACGTGGATTTTATAACCTTGAAAGAGAGGATATATCTTTAGAATTTTTGCCCTTAAAATCAGATAACCTCTAAAATCTACTGTTTCTTGGGAGCATTTTATTATTAATATATATTATGCAAATATGTTAGTGAATTTTCTTTATGTTATTGTACTCTTTTGTTTGAAAGGTTATAAATATATAGAAACTATATGTACTAGTAAAATAATGAGAATTCTCTTATTTCTCTTTGGACAACACCAAGTTTCTTTTATATATATATATATATATGTTTATATATTAAGTTCTACAACCACAAATTGTCATGTGTCTTGTCTTTGAAGTATTATCATTTAATATAAATTCACATTAAAAAATGGAACACATAATCACATTTGACTTGAGAATGTCACATAATAGATATATAAAGGACTTGATTTAAGTGTTTTTCTTTCTCTTTTGCTCTTATCATATTGACGTCGTTCACATTTTTCTTTAGCTTTCATAATACCTACTTCTCCGGTCTTTAATATAAGACCCATTTAACTAATTTGATTATATTAAAGAAGTTAGGTAAATTAGTTAATTATAAGAAAAGTGACACATTTTTCCTAAAACACCATAATCATCTTTTTTAATACCCCTCTTCCTCTTCTACTTGATTATAGTTGGGGGAGTATCCATAAGGGTAATTTAGAGAAAATTAAAAAATATGATAAATGGGTCTTATATTTAGGACCAAAACCAACTCAAGAATTGGGTCTTATATTAAGGACCAGAGGAGTACTATATATTAAGAAGTCGGTATTCTATACAATTTTTTTTCAAAAAATAATTTTAAAATATCAGTACAAACCGTTACCAAAAAAAAATTCTCAGTTGCCAATTGAAATTTAATAACTTAAATTGATATTTTGAGACCAAATTATCATTTGTTCCCCTATTAATTTTAGCTATCGTTAGTTATAACTAATTTTACTTTGCGTTTCTTTTTGGATTTGATTCTCTCAATTATTGAACATATCAAAGTGAAAAATACGCATTACCCAAAAAAAAAAAAAAAGCTTCACCGCTGGTTTTCTTCTCAAAACACAAATAAAAAGCCCCACTGCTTTGTTTGAATGATGTCGAAAGCACCGACACGATGAGTGGCTCCAAGACAATAGCGATTGATTAAATTCTTTACAAATAATAAAAGTGAGTTTGGCCCAAAACAAAAAAGAATAATAAAACTAGTAAGACCCAGATTTTTTGCCAGATGGATAGGATGGACGCTCGATCTGAAAACAGTAAAAAAAAAAATTCATATAAAACATGTTTCCTTAAATATAAAAGTTTTGAAAATTAAATCATGCCATATTATTTATAGTTTGTGAATAGTTTTTGTATTCGGTAATACTTATTGTATAGAGTTATGTATATGCTAATATAACATATGGTTTTACATTCAATTTTATCCTAAATATAAAACTCCAATACACCTTATTTTTAATGTTTATGCATTTTTTTCAATATAAACCTTATAATAGCTGTACAAGTTAAATGTTTCATCAATTAATAACTCTAGGTAATACACATACATGAACAGTGACATTTTAGGAAAAAAATACATATTTATTGTAGATAACTAATTAATTTTCTTAATCTATTTAAATTAATTAATTAGCTATTATATTAAGGATATGAAGTACTCCTCCGGTCCTTAATATAAGACCCATTTAACTAATTTGATTAGATTAAGGAAGTTAGGTAAGTTAGTTAATTATAAGAAATGTGACACATTTTTCCTAAAACACCATAATCATCTTTCTTATAAATACCCCCTCTCCCTCTTCTACTTTATTATGGTTAATGAAGTATCCATAGGGGTAATTTAGAGAAAATTGATAAATATGAGAAATGGGTCTTATATTGAGGACCAAAACCAACTCAACAATTGAGTCCTATATTAAGGAACGAAGGAGTACTACAATTTTTTATAACCCTTTGAGCCAACTCATGTTTGGCGCTTAATATATAGTTTACTAATATCTATTATCTGTATTTCGTTATGTAAACACACATAATTCCTAATCTTTATTATAAGGCATATTTTAGTGGGGAAAGGATGATTCTTATTATAAAGCATCAGTTGAGATATTAATTTCATTTTATCCCTTATCTATGTATTAAAAAAGACTGTCCCTGCTGGCCAAAAAAAAAAAAGACTGTTCCTATTTTATGTTTAATTTATTTTTTTATGGCTTCAAAAAATTAATAATTTAACTACCTCTTTTTCATTCTAGTAGAATGGCTAAAAATGTTTTATAATAACGATGGGATAGAATATTTAATTTTAATTTAATTTTCCCAATGGATGCATATATTATTCCTTTTTTGCATTTAATTTACCACTCAAAAGGTATCACATTCTTCCAAATCCAATGCCTGCATATCTCAATCCCAAATAAAGTTTGCTCCTTTATCTCTATTAAATGTTGATGTGTGTTACTAAACGCTCAAATGACTCATATTTAGTACCAAGTGATACTACATAAAAGAGCAATAAAAACCGACAAGTGTTGGGGGAATGGGGGTAGAGGCAATCGGCTGACGTTCCATTCTCAAAGGGTTAAAGTATAATTATGCTCCTAATTTTTTTAGTAAATAGAGAGCTAATAGTAAAGAAATCTCCAAAAATGGTTGCCCCTTGGATAGAGCGTCTTGTACCACGAACGAAAAACTTGATGTCGTTTTCTTCTCCTACAATACATACAAGGCAGACAGAATTAATAATAAGCAAAAACCTCGAAATAAATAAACGACAACTAGCAGAAGAAAATAGAGGCTTACTTGATCCCTTTCTTGGTGTTATCGAGTTTTCCTTTATCACTAGCCTTAAAATGTCTCAAGAGCTTCTTGGCTGGTTCATTAAGAGGGGAAGTTCTGACTTTTCGTTTCAGTGAAGCTCTTGAAGCATTATTCATGAAAGCCCGAGGAGACACAAAACGAATATTCTCCATGCTTGTTTGCTGCTTATCAACATAAACTCCACTCTTAATTATGGAGATATTTGGCGAGTCACACATAACTTGTATATCCACATCATTCCAACCCAATTCTAGAAACTTATTAAGCTCCTCCAACTCCTCATCAAAATTCTGAAGTAAATCAAATGAAATCACATGACCTTCCTTACCAAAAAAAACCAACGCATCACATTCTCTACGTTGACTAGGAGCATAAAGAGCATCATTTTTTGTCCATGACGTTCTACGGCCATTAGTTCTGATAAAAACTTGGAAGGTGAGAAGACTCCTTTTTGCCTTAGCTTTGCCCGATTCGATTGCAATGACAAGAGCAGGGAAAGTTTTCCCACGAACACCAAGAGACAATGTGTCTCCTTCACAGGAATAGTCGAACCAATCAGGAAATGTTGTTGCTGGCATAGTAAAGAAGGTTTTTGCCTGATTTATCGAATCACCAAACCGGAGAGGCTTTTTCAGATTTGAGAATAACATATAAAATAATAATTGAAATTTATATTATTCATAGACAGGATATATCAAGGGGTATCTGGCAAAAAAAAAAAATCAAGAGCTAAAGTAACATTTGGCACCCTAATTAATGTTATTTTTGTGGTGCATCCTACACGTTTGATGTTATTTTCTAGTTGCATCTGATATCCTAATTTTATTTATGATTTAAGGTGCTGGATGCACACAAGAAAAAGATTAGGGTGATGAAAACACAAAAAAAATAATAATAATAACATCAAGGCGCAGGATGCATCATAAATATAATCAAAGTTGTTAAATGCAACTTGAAAATAATGAGGGTGTTAGATGCCGAAACATTATTAACCCACACTAATAAGAAGCTCTGATTATGACATGATTTCTAGTGGTTTATACCTGCAAAAGCTTTAAAATCCAACATGACAAATGAAAACTATCAAAAGGAAAATGAGAAAAACCTGAAACCACAAACGGCTTAATGACTCGGTTGTTAATGCTGTGCAATTCTCTGCCTTTATCTGGCGCAACCCCGATGGCAACTCTGGTATGTCTCTTAGTCTCTTACAATTATTTATTTCGAGCGTCATGAGATCATCACACTCTTTAATGCACTCAGGAAGTGATGCAAAATTATTTCCTGATAGATCCACGTTTTGCAGATTCTGAAAACATTTCAGAGTATGGTAAACATCTTCGTCCCATAGGCCACAGTTTCCGAGATCCAAGCACTCTATGTTATTGCAACTGATAAATGGTTGGCTCTCTTGCAGTAATTTCTTCAAGGAATTTCTACCATGAGATCGAAGGCCTCCCAGCAGAAGTACGCTAAGATTTTGTAGCGTGAATAAGCTATTTGGAAGCTCTTTAATAGCGCTACCATCTGCAAAAATACTTCCAAGTGCATCCATATTTCCAACTATATTTGGGAAGTAGGCAAGACTCTTGCAATCAGTGAGAACGAGCATCTCAAGAGATGGCATGTTGATTTCACTTGGAAAGCTTTTAAGTTGGGTACATTTACGAACATCTAATTTGATGAGCTTGCAAAGAAATCCCACTGAATCATGAACTTTGATCAAATTGCGACATTCGCGAAAGCTTAACGTTTTTAAGTTTTGAAAAGGAGACATATCAGGCACTTCTGTTATAAATTCACACCACGAGAAATTCATATGTGTCACATATTCAAACTTCTGCAAAAGAAAACCAATATTATTTAATTAATAACAGTTGTCAAGAAATATATTATCTTTTGAACAGAATATGCTAGCCTCCCTTTGATTTATCTAATCTTATTCGTACTGAATCTTCGAAAAATCTCCTTCGGATTATGAAATAGTTGACGATTCTATAGAAGATAATTAAAAATTCAATGAGAGTTAAAAGTAATTTATCCTCGAATTCTCAGAAGAACATTATGGCTCAAGAAATTTGATCACAGAAGAAAAGAGTGAATAAAATACCTGGAATGGCTCTTCAAATTTGAAAAGACTTCTACACAACTTGAAGCAAACTAGTTTTGGAGGAGAAAAATCCGGTGGTAAAGTCATAGAAGGATATCCCTCCCAATCAAGCAGTATCAAACTATTGGGAAGATACTTGGGACTTGTTAAGAATTGGGTATTTCGAACAATGAGAATACGAAGATTATCTATCTTCTCAAAGGCTAAACCATTCCACTTCACTTCTTCTTGTTCAGGCGGATCAAGTATTATTCCTTCAATATCATTTTCTCCCTACAAGTTCCAAAAGGTAATATAGTTAGATTTTTGCCAAATTTGCACAGTTTATTGTACATAAGGAAATGGATAAATTTTCAATGCTTACTAAATCTTTACGCAGCACATTAAGAACGTCTTTGTAATACCATAACCTGCTACGTCTACCAGGATTTGAGGGTGCCTCTTGCTCAACAATCTTTTTACCCATTTGTTGTATTAGATCATGCATCAGCAAGAGACCATTATCAGCAATAGTTATCAAAGATTTATCAACAAGAACTTCAATATAAAACCTTGTCCCATAATAACAAGCTCCTAGTATGTCTTCAACCAATCCCAATGTCTCCTTTTTAAAGAAACAAGCAATGTCCAAGAAAATACGCTTAGCATCATCTTGTAAGCAATCATAGCTTACTTTCAATATCTCATATATTGTTGTTCTTGAGATTTTATAATATTGTGTCAATGTATATCTCCATTCCTCTAAGTCTTTGTGTGCCAAATTGGAGCCTATCAACTTTAAAGCCAAAGGAAGGCCACGTACATAATGTGCAATACCAATGGACATATTTTTGTATACTTTTGGAGGTTGGCTCTTTCGAAATGCATGCCAACAAAAAAGCTCAAGAGAGTAACGCTCATTTAACTCCTTCATTTCGTATGTCTTTGTAATATTGCATGCAATTAGTAATTGCTTGTTTCTTGTTGTTATAATGATCTTGCTTCCACAACCAAACCAATCACATCCTCCTGCAAGTTGTTCTAACTGTTCAACTTCTTCAACGTCATCAAGAACCAATAGAATCTTTTTGCGAGAGAGCCTATGTTTTATTTTTGATATTCCTTCGTCAACACTACAAAACTTAGTCTTGTTTTCAACTAGAATTTCTGATAGTAGGGTTCGTTGAAGGCTAACAACACCTTGATATTTCTTTGATATTTCTCGAACATCAAACAAAAAACAAGCACCTTCAAAATTGTAGAAGATTGAATTATAGACAGCTTTTGCTAGGGTTGTTTTGCCAATCCCACCAATTCCATAAATTCCCAACATACAAACTCTATGATCATCACTTTCATCCAAAAGTGACATCACTTCTTCTATACAAGGCTCAAGTCCGACGATGTAATCAACGTTATGGTAGCGCTTAGGAGGTAGCCTAGCATATGCATCTTCAACGATACTTTCAATAAATCCATCTTGGTATCTGCAAAAGGAAAAGTTAATTTGTTTACTATGAAGATAATTATCGCCACATATTCTGTTTTATATTTCTATGATCTTTTAGCTCTCTACGATTTTAATCCATTCACTCTATATGTCTAATTTTTTTAAAAATTTATAAGTATTTGTTATTTGAATTATATCATTTAAGTAAATCTAAGAGTAATAATGCAAAAACAAAAAAGTCAAATTATAGAACTATTTAAACTTCTAAATTGAAAATAAAAATTTTGAATATTAAACACAATTCATAATTATCCTAATGAGAAAAATACTGTAAAAACCACCATTTCATAGCACCTTTGAACTGCAAAAGCAAAAGCCACATCAAAATTTCAAACATTTTCAATAGCGTGCTAAGAGAGCGAGCCTTTAAGCAACAGTAAGATTGCTATCATGTGACTTGACAAACTCAATTATTTTTATATATTTTGATATCTTTTTTATGGGTATTGTCAACTTAATTAGTCTTTTTGGCCTTAATTGATTGTTAATGGATTTAATATATTTTATTTTGAATTATTATTTTCTAGGGGCAAAATTGTTATATTTTGGTTTAATTGTGACTAATTGATTTTTGAGGACAATTAATGCTACTTTATCCTTGAATTTTGTTTGCAGGTTCTTGGAAGATTCAAAAATAAAAAAATAAAAAATTAAATTAAAAAAAATAATAATAAGGCAACGTTTTGTCCCAACCTAATATTCATCTTCTTCATCCGAGGAGACAGACAGGCTGAACAGGGGAGACACACACACACTAGCTGGGGGCGGCGGAAAAACAGAGCAACACACGAAGCAGAACGAGCGGGCGGCAGTGAGCAGAGCCACGCAAATAGGGAGGGCGAAAGGCGGAACACACGGAGGAAGACGCTGAACGAGCTGGCAGCGCAGGAGAAAGACCGAGGGGGAGAACCAGAGGGAGTGAACAGTGACGGCGTGAGGAAGTTACGGGAAAAAAAACTGCATCTTCTTCCTCTCCACGTTGTGAACGACACAGGGACCAGAGGGACTCGTCGGAAATCACACCCACACTTCTCCATTCTTATTCTCACCAATCCCAACCATTGTTCCACCATCCATCATCATCTTCTTCTTCTTCTCCTTCTCGGCGTCAACAGAGCAAAAGACCAGCGAGCTAAGGGACCAGTGACAGCAGCGATACAAACAGCAGCAACACACACACGCTGAACGAGCTGGAGGCCATACGAGACAGAGCTGAGGGCAGGGACCATTAACGACGCGAGGGACCTAGTAGTAAAACAGAGCTGGGTGACGTGAACTGAAAAACAGAGAAGGAGGCAACACGAGCTGGGACGGCGGCTGAGAGAAGAAAGAAGAACACGAGTTGACGGCAAGACCAGAATCGTGAACAGGATCATCATCACCACCGTCTTCTTCACTGCCATGGCCGAGTGTAGGAGGAAACTGATTGAAGGAGATTCTGAAATTATACGTGGCTAGAGCTCTGAAATCCTCTAATTCAACAATAATGACAAGAGCTCAAATCATCAAAGGGGAGTTTTAGTTGCTTTAATTTCCTACTCAATAATTGTTTAACAATTCCTAGGTCTTAGGATAGTTTTTTCTGATTGTTGGGATAATTGTATTGCTTAATCTGATTATATTTGGGGATTATTGTGACTAGATTATTGTCTAGCATTTGACATTGGGCTGTTTATAGCTTTGATTTCAATTATGATGTTGTGGTTATGACATTCATATTGATTTTGGAGTTAATATATTGTGATTTTCTAAGGTGGCTTGGAATTTTGGATCATATTGTCTCTTGCTAGCTATAATTCTGTTATTTTTGGATTTAAGAATTCTAATTAAGCATTGGTTTTTAGCATCCTTAATCCCATTTTACTATTCTGGTTGCAGTTAGTAAGTTAGGATTTTAGGAAAATATTTTGTGGCAATTCGAGATGGCTCGGTTGTTGGATTAAAAGCTTGATTATAATTCTTAATTCATTGTTTTAACTCCTGTATCTTTTGGAGTGAGGATTGCCTGCGTTGTTGAATTGGAGGATTGATTATTATCATTGTTACTTGTGTGTCTCATTTTCATTTATTTAATCTTCATTCATTTTAATCACTTTTATATAAAAAAACGTATTTTAATTTCAATTTGATTCGAAGTATTTAATTAACAGTTTTTCAAAATCAAAAATCCCTTTTTATAGTTTAGGTTACTTGCATTTATTTATTAGGATTTAATTTCATTTTCGACTCCTCAAAGTGAATACGACCCGGATTGTGCACTATATTGCATTAATTCGGTTAATTTTTGGAGTAACCTCAAAGCGACAAATTAAGGACAAGTTAACTTCATGACTTGAAAGTCAAGGGTTTAAATCCTGAAAATAACCTCTCCCCTTGTGAGTGTAAGACTATGTACATCTATCCCTCCCCAGACCCTCCAACCACTAATTAATTGTTTCAAAATTTGCTCAGTAGATGCCTTTCAGAAAATAGTATAAGAAAACATACCCATCTTTGAAAAGCCATGCTGATGACAAGCTAGCAGCTTCAAACAAAGCAGATCTCCATTTTCTAACTTTCTCCGTGTCATCTCTGAATCTTTCTTCAAGAACAGCCATGGCTTCCTCAAAGCTGTTTCTCTGATACTGAACATCCATCGGATCTACCTTGTAAAAGATGGGCATAACCAGCTGGTTCTTTTCCTCCTTACACCAAACGATGTGAGCAAGTTCCTCCAGGCACCAAGTGGAAGTAGCATAGTTCTTAGAGAACACAATAATGGAAATCCTGGATCTCTCAATGGCCTTAAGAAGCGTAGGTGAGATCTTTTCCCCTTTTCCAAGCTTCTTGTCATCAATGAAGGCGTTGATTCCCTTACGGTGCAATGCATCGTAGAGAGGTGCAGTGAAGATGTGGCGAGTTTCTTCACCTCTGAAACTCAGGAAAACATCATATCGATACTTAGCTTCGCTGGTGAAGCTATGGGATGATGGTGAAGCCACTTGAATCGCCATGGCTGCAATAATCGCAGACTTGAAGTTAGGTGTTGAGATTTGAAAACTCAAACGAGAGAGAAACTTATAGAGTTAACGTGGATTGTGCTTTCATATAAATGTGTGTGTGTGTATATATTTATTAAATGGATCCAAATGGGAAGACGTTGGTACCTTGTTTTTGTTTGACTTTTGTATTTCTGGAAGCAACTGTTGACCCAAAAAAATAATGATGGTGCAGATGATGGATCCTTTTTTTCCGGTCTTCTTCCAGTTTGTTTTTGTTTTATTTTCATTCATCTTGAGGACTCAGTAATCCACGGCGGACCAAGTTGCATAGTGTGTGAGGCCGTATTCCTGGAAAAAAAGAAATATATTATGTGTGTGTTACAATAAGTGCTTGTAATATTTATCATAAATAATTTTCTAAACAAAAATTCAATAATTATCTCACCCGTTAATCGTGAAAATGGATTGGCCGGACAATATTAAAACAAAAATTCAAATTCAAAAAGAAAGGAATAAGTTTGAACCACAAAGGAAAAAATAAAGATGGAAAGAAAGCAATAAGCCAGCACTATTAACTGCCTTTTCTTTTTCTTTTCCTTTTCTTAATTACCGGAACAATATTAACTGCTTAACAGCTTCATACTGCTATAGGTATCATTATGACGTGGATTTCCATATATGAAAGGATATTTAGAATTTTACCCACGAAATCACAGTCTCTAAAATCGACTTTTTCTTGGGAATCTTTTATTATATGTATTATGAAAATATGTAAGTTCATTTTCTTCATCTTATTGTCAATCTCAATTTGTTTGAAAGGTTATAAAAGACTATATATATATTTTGCATACTTGTATATGAATGAGACCCCACCCTCTTTTTTTACATCTCTTTTTTTGCTCTTATCATCATGTTGCTCATTTTTTTTCCTTTAGCTTTTATAATAATACATACTATTATATCTGGTTCTTAATATAAGAGCTAGTTAACTAACTTAGGTAGATTAACAAAATTAGTTAAGTTAGTTATTAACAATAAATAGTTGTTATCTTTCCTAAAATATCCTTATTAATAAAGTGTCATTTGATGAAATATTTAATATATACAAATACTACAAGAACTACCTTAAAAAAATAGATAAATATGAGAGACAAAGTTGATTGGGATCTTATATTTAGGACCAAATAAAAAGTCAAATTAGTTTTCATATTAAAGACCAGAGGTAGTATAAATTAAGATAATGTTTAAAAATACATAATGTTGCTCTTTTTTTTTAATAAAATATGTTTATAAATAATTTTTAAAAAATATGTTGCTAAAGTTTCAATTGCAAATTGAAACTTACATATAGCTTAAATTGATATTTTGAGACCTAATTATATTTTTTTTTCTAATTAATTTTAGTTTTTGCGTCTAGTCCCAAGTTATTTGTCTTTTTGGAACCGAATACTTTCAATTATTGAACATATCAAAGTGAAATTCGTAGTACATAAAAAAAATGCTTTACCGCAGGTGTTTTTTCTTTTTTCTTTTTTTGGATTTTCCTGAAAATACAAGGAAAAAGCCACATTGCTTTATTTGGTTATGTCGAAAGGACCTATCAATGGGATCAGGTCTAGCAAAAAAGTCTAATCCCCCATAACATGGTAAACTAAGGTTTGAATTCTTATTGGTATAAGTACTTATATTTAGTACCCGATAATATCTTAAATAAAGTTACATCTGATAAGAGGATACCTATGTCTTAAAAAAAAAGGCAAAAAGAAATGACGGCACGATGAGCGGCTCCAAGATAATTACCATTAATTAAATTCTTTACGAATAATAAAAGCAAGAGGTAAGATCGATATTAAAACAGTATGAGTATCTCTTAAAGTAATTTTATCCATATAAAATATGTTTTGTGTAGCATAAAAAAATTGAAAAATAAATCAGCCATATTATTTAGGGAAAACTATCTTGAGAATACACATACTTTTTCTCAATTTTTAATTTGGCACTTATATGCTTTTTTTAATTAAATCTTTAACTTTGTTCTTCGATGAGCACCGTGAACACCTATACAAAAGCTAATTATATTAATAAAGCAAGCTATGCTAATAGAGCAAAAATTAAATGATGTAACTACAAAAAGAAAATTACATGTAAAAAATAAAAGATTGATAAAAAAAAGTTTGGGTACATGTAAAATAAGTTTCCCTATTATTTATAGTTCGTGAAGTAGTCTTTAATTTATATTCGGTAAAATTTGTTATAAAATTTTTATATTTTACTAATATGTAATCCCTATAATAAAACACACTTTCGATTCTTTGTTATGAGGCACACTTTGAAACGAATAGATGACTCCTAGTATTATAAATCATCATGTAAAATATTATTTACATTTTATCCCTATTTTTGCATACAAAAAATTTCCCTATTTAATATTCAATTCAAATTTTCTATAGCTTCTCAATACATGATTTCTAATTTTAAATAAGGATAAATGTGAAATTTTTAGTCATTGTCAAAAAAAATTAATAATTTAACTACTTCTTTTTTTTTTAATTTCGGTGTGATGTTTAAAATGTTTTATAACGATGATGGGATAGAATATTTAATTTTAATTTTCCCACATCAGTGTGGAGGATGTGACAAATTAAATCGATGCATATATTATTCCTTTTTGCATGTCTCAGTTACGTCAATCCAGTCAGCTAGAGAATCATATTCCCATTATTACAATGCTTTTCTAAATTTTTGAAGCGAAACAATGATCAACGTATGAAGACGGAGAAGAGAATATTTTTGAAGTACCTGTGAAGAGGTAATTGCTTGAAAGGATACGTATAATCTGAAATTGCATTACCAATGTGCTTGAGTTAGCATGAGGGAAAATTATATCTTCCCCTCCTTGGATAAGTAGAAAAAAGTGAGAGGGAAAGAAAATTGGAGAGAAAATAATACGTGCGAGTCACATATTTTTCTCTTCAACTGTTTCTTTTGTAAAATGTGGAGATTTCAAAGGAAAAAACTTCTTTCAAAAAACTCTCATTAATTAGTTTTTTATTCTCCTTCTCCATCAATTTTGGGAAAGACGTCAATATCATGTTACATATTTTCAATTGTTGAATTATTTTGAATTATTTAAAATCTATGTACAAAAAATAATTTTGAAAACAAACAAAAAATTGGTTAAAATAATTATGAATTAAGAGTAAGATTAAACACTCAAACGTATCTATGTTTAATTTACAAGTTTTTTACATACATGTAATTCAACAGCAAGGATGCTCGTTGAGTTGAACTATTGCACGCAAAAGATGCTCCACTGCTGGTTTTTTTTTTTAAAAAAAAAAGAAAACAAAATGCTTAACTGCTTCAAATGTATGGGTGCTTCCATATTAATTCAAGTCCACTTAAACATAAAGTTAAAGTGTATTCAGTCGCTGAAGTATTATATTAGCTGCATTCAGTACTTCGAACTATTTTGTGATGCATCTATTATCATGAAGCTTTTTTTTTGTCTTGGTGCTTGATGCACCAAAAAAATTTTTTGGGTACTAGATGTAACTAAAAAAATATTTTGAGATGCTAGATACATCAAAAAATATTGCAAGTAGCGAGACACCTGAAAAATATATTTCGGGGTACTGAATGGACCACAAAATACTTAAAAGTACTGAATGTATCCGAGAAAATATTTCGGGGTACTGGATCCATCTTATCCCCTTAAACATATAAAAAACAAATGATTCTAACAAGTTATAGCTAGGAGTGAAAAGACATGCTATTTAAAAAGGAGGGACGGATCTCATATAAACATATGTGCAGAAGCAAATATTCTAATAATATATTATTCCCTTTCGCATTTCATTTCCCACTCAAAAGGGATCGCATTCTTCCACATCCAGTGCCTATCTCTTATATATATATATATATAGACACACACACACACAGTTACGTCAATTCCAAATAAAAAGACGTGCCATTTACGATGTCTTCCAGAATATAATTGCCTAAGATAATAAGCAACGTTCAATGTCTCAGAATAAAAAGGACAACAACTAGTTTGGCTGAGCCATTTTTATAAGGGGGATTCCACAGAGGAGTAATATAATAATATGTTATATTATGCATCTTTGCACAATTTGTAAAGAGCTAGCTAGCCATGTTACTAATGATCTGCATGTAGTATAGCTTACTATAATATATATAACTGAAAATTAGGCTGGGAGATTGAAGAAAAAGTACTACTATTTTCAGTTCTTAATATAAGAACTAGTTGAAAGATTGGATTTAGCATTAGATATAAGATGTCAATTAACTTTATCTAATGTTTACTTCTGTTATCTTCCATATATATTTGGATGTTCATGATTGTGCAGAAGCAAAGAGATCGAAATGCGGTTTCGGCTTCATCAGTTTCATCTTTTATTTAAAAAAATTGAAGGTAGGAGGTCATGGAGGAAAATTGGCGAGAGTGAATTTAGTGTTTTAAAATTTACATTTTAGCGATTAGTATTTTTAAATAATTATAATTTGTATGATGCTTTTCAATAGATATAATGATTTTCTCTAAAGTCTTTTCTCTAATTTTCCCCTTGACAATTATATGGGTTTGTAAAGCTT